CTACAGATACTCTCCTTTCTTTTTGATTGGAAAAACCTTTTTGTAGAATTTTGATATTTTTGAAAATGGCGTGAACCTTGATGATGATACCTGTTAAAAAATCTCGTTTAACTGTTTACCCAACAATTATTTCGCACATAATTTAATGAATCTATCAAAGGAATATTTATTTTCAAAAGGGTTTTTGTGTATATTATAGTGATCTCAACTAGTAAAATTACTATAGTATCCACAAAAACCCTTCTAATATTAATCAACATATACCCCCTAGTGACTGGCTTCAAGAGGTATTTCGTAGAGTTCTAGTGAGAAGAAGTAACCAATGGATTTCAACCGGGTCAGTTGTGAGATAGTAACTCACTGAAGACAATGGTCGATGTGTTACTTAATTCCGTGGATTGGGTGAAGTTAGACATTAACACCGTTGGATGTCAGCCGGCTAAGTGGTCTAGTGGTTGGGCGCTCGCGCGGTCGAATATTGTGAGACGGGATCGTGGATGCGCATTGCTGAGGAGTCCCACAATAGGACGAAACGGCCCTCCAGTGCTTCCAGGTTTTCAATTGTGATGGTCTAACATCAAGATCTCAATCAAAAACTTAATAATCTCCACAACCCCTATACTAATAATTCATTTCCACTGTTCTATTTTTCACCAATCTCTGTTATTTATTAGTGAAATTTATTATAATCCATTTGATAATTTAAAACACGTTATCATACAATCCTTTTTTTGTTTTAGGCAGCTCTTTTATGGGATTGGTCTTTTTAAATCATATATATATATATATATATATATATATATATATATATATATATATATATATATATATATATATATATATATACTCTGGAAAACTGAGACATTTTCATTTTATAAATTTCTATATACAGTAAACGAAACAACTTTCCATATATGTTCCCGTACGATAAACTTGATGAATACTTTTTCTACGATACACCTACGGATTTAATCGCCGCATGTGGTCAACTTAATGTGAATTCCAGTCAAGTCTATAAAGTACAATGTATTGTTACGAAAGTCCTTGGGACATGGTCGGCATATTTATTACCAATCATATGTGGACTTGGTTTAATTACACACAGTCTTGTTGTAATAATTATATTTAAATGTTTAAAATGTATACCACGCCAGTTAATTTATACTGGTTGTTTAAGTTGTTCCAATATATTGACGAATATTTTATTTGCTTGGTTATGGTTATTTCCCGCTAAAGGTTTACCATATATAACCAACGGACAAATTTATTTCTTCATATTTAATACATCAAGAATTGCTTGTCGCCTATGTCGTTTCACTTATTCACTGAGTACAACATTAACCAGTAATCTAATATTATGTTCAGCGATTGATCGTTGTTTGAGTATATATTTCCCAATGAAATTATTACATTTATCGAATCGTCATGCATGGTATATATGCTTAATTGTTTTAATCATCAGTAGCATTATGATGTCACCATTTTTAATTGTAATTGATTGGATACAAGTTGGACAATTTCATATTTGTTGGATAGAGGAATCGTTATTTCATTTACAAATTTATCATACATTATTTGCTAATTTAGGCTTAGTACAAAGTATTTTAATTGTTATAGTAAATATTGCTTTTATCGCACGTCTTATCATACAAACTAAACGAACACGTCATACTATAGCACGTAATAAGAAAGAACTTAAACATATCTCTATTTCTATTATTCTCTTAGCATTTTCAATGTCATATGTATTGACTGCACTACCTCAAACTACAGTTTATTTATTAGCGTTTCTATGGTCGTATACAAATGAGGTGATTGATGAAGTATATGAAGTATGGATAAGACTTATGTATAATTTAGCAGATATTGGTTGGAATCTTCATTTTACACGAGAATTAATTGATTTAATTATGTATTTTATATATCTGAAACCATTACGTCGAATATTATTGTATAAGATTAAAAAAATTATCAATATGGCTAATTCATCGAATCCGAACACGTCAGATCATCCATCATTAAAATAATATACATAAAGGGAAATCACTGATTAAAAAAGAACAATGTATTATGCGTTGATAAAAGTTAGACGGTTTTAATTCAAACAATTAATCTTATTTTTACTATTATTTCAATGATCTTTTCTTCAACTATCTTCTTTTCATTGGATTATTGATGATAAGGTGTATTTCACTTTGGAAAAACGTCTTTTTTCTTTGGTTTACACTTATATTAGTTAAGAAGAATAAAATGACAAAGACAACAATAAATAAGTTGCAGATAACCAATTTATCCAATGATAAGCAAATGAAAATTAAATTTACAAAAGAAAAGTAACCGTTTCATTTTACGTCTGTTTAGTTTATTACTAGTACATTTAGAAACACATGATTACTTCATACATCACATAAATTAAATCATATTCATTTAGAACTCAGACGTCTTTTTTGACACTATAAAATAAATACAATCAACACCTTATCAATGTCTCCAATTTCTCTGGCTAACAAATGATAGTGCGGGCGAAGCTTCAGCAAAAGAACTGGTATTCAAATCTCATATAATCTATTATGACATATAGGTGAAATTTCAATAGCATCGAAATAAATCACGTCGAGGTGAACAGACATTTGGAGCAACGGTAATATAAAGATCACATACTCAAAGACGGATTAACAAGAACTTACTCCGTTTTAACTACTTCGGATAAGAAAATGAAGAACTACAAAAACATGACACATTAAGGGTGAAAATTTAAAACCATTGTATTCAATCCGTACAGTTAGAATTGGGAGGAGAATACGAGTAGACAGTTACTGTGCCAAACGTATTATATACAACTAAGTTCAATGTGTCATCTTCATATTTAGCACAATACTTAAGTCATTACAATATTCACTTTTAACATTTTGAAATTCTCTTTGTATTTATGACTGTAGAACTCGACAATAAAGAACATCATTCCATCCACTGTTCGACTTTTCATTTACAATATATAAACAATAGATTGTTTGAAATGTACATCGTTTGCATGAATATCTATCATATGGATATGACAAATGTGGCTGTATTCCAGCTGCAATGCATCATTGGAAACGAGTCGTTAGGTTTACCTGTAAGTGAATGTATTATCATGTTACTGAGATTGACATCTCAAGTTTTGACCAGTCCTTGTCGGGTCATGTATGTTCTGAGTGAATGAATATTCCGTTTGATATGTTCAAGTGTATTTGTACCGTGGATAGCAGTGGAATACAAGATGCTTATTTTGTTGCATTCATATAGGTGGATGGTCATACAGATGCTTGGTGTGATGGTACTGGCAAAATTAAGCGAGTCAATATGAGACCAATAAACTAACAGTAATCGGAGACCGCACATATCTGATGGATACTCAATTTGTTAATTTATATCAATTCTGTTTGAGGATTGAAAGTGTTGAACTGATGTACAGTTTGATGCACTTCACGAATAAATTAGTACTCGGTGGACATCTAACAGATAAATTATTCTCAATCTCTATTAAACCAGTTATAGGTTTATCAATTGGAATATTAGTGTATACACATACAGCATTATAACCTACTATTGTTTCATATGATTACTCCACGACATTATCAAGGTTATATTGATGTATCTTTAGTATACCACCAAGATATGATGTCAGAGTATATGAGGCATTATTTATAAAATCCATTTTTGGTTGTATTTTGCGTGAGTTTTTGGAATTACGTTGTGCTCATATAAAGCCGATGTAGTTTTTACCATGTGTTATTCAAATTGATTTTTCAATCAATCTTTTGGTATTGTGAATTATACAATTGTATACTTCCTTAGTAGTTGCTTTATTTATGACCATTTTCGACATTTGTAATGTCAATTCTTTCAGCCACTTAGTAAACGTTTCAGTTTTTCTTATGTAACCGTCGTATGGTTTTGTTTATTGTTTACGTAATAGTAAAAATGACAAAACATCCTAATTGACTATATTTGAGCGACAATGTATTCTGACATAATACTATGTCATAACTCTTTAGTAAATTGCTGATGAACGATTTCTGGAATCTCACAAATAAAATTATGCTTCCTGTTAGAAAAAATCATATGTTTGGTTGAGAAAATGATATGGACTTAGTTACTTAGACAAGACAGTAATGCTTACGCTGTAACTGGAAACATATAGCGTGTTTATCATATTACCTACCGGCAATGGTGGACGGTCATTTTTTTGGGTTCCGTATTATGGTCGATCCAGTCTTATCTGATTAAGCCGACAGACTTTTCTGGAAATGAATTCCACCTCGATGGATTCACAAACCAACCGCGTGGATGTGATTTTGTGCGAAAATCATTACCCTCATGTCTTGGAGCACAGGCGTCGCAACAGGGGCAAGTATAGTTTTCATCCATGAGTCACTTAGCATACACATAGGTATATACACCCACCTGTGACGGCAGATACTGACCGTTCTATTCGAATGTATTTGCCACGACTGACTGCCACGTATTATCTGCACATCACTGGTACAAAAAATTTCGTCCCTGTACTGCATGACATATATATAAGCATAAGGCCAATTACATAAAGGTTTGATGGCCACCTCTCCGCAGTACTTACTACAATATGTTTTTACTATTTCTTCCACCTGAGGGATTAGGTGGTTTATCTTATGAGAAACAAGACAGACAGTTTTCAGTTAACGTTTCTTGAGTCGACCGACGTGTTTGTCCTTTGTATATACCTATATACATTATTCACACAAACTGAAACTCATGCAATTCATATACATAAGCAAACACATGGGGAAGCCCACGAGATTTTTAGCCCCAAGAGTGGAACTCTGTGACTCCGGTTTACAGCAGAGCGGTGGATTAGTCCGATCTCTGCCGACCTCCCAAGTTATCTAGCAAGGTTCGCTCTACTATCCAGCAGCGTCATGGGGAGGCGAACGGTAAATGATATTATTCTTATTTTATTCCAGAAAGAATAGATAGTGTTTATGAAACTGCCCGTGGGTTTCATATTCCTTGTACAAAACGTTTAACAATTTATGGTTGGAATGTTTTAATGGGAAATTATCAGGCAATTATATATATGTATGGAAAGTGTGCGAGTCAATACGCACAAATCGAAAAGGAATGTTACCATAAACACGGTTTTCTTATATATGTATATATAAAGGCAGAATACTATAAGTGGCTACACACAAAGTGTACTCATAAACACAGTTGCAAAACAACATCGAATGGGCAGAAGAACATTAATTTGTTGTTACTGTAATAAGTAGTATTAGAATAGAGTATTTTCAAAATAAACAATGCATAATAGTAAATAAGAGTAGAGTACCGAAACAGAAAAGTGTAGAAAAGCAATGGAACACTGACCAAAACAAAAGAGTTTAGTAAGTGACAACTAAAAGCAAGGAGTAAAAATAACAATCATACCAATTACACACTTGGAAGTGAAACTGATCGTGAAAGACGTACCAGATAGAATGCATATTTGTTAGGAAAACGCCCGTGGGTTTCATACTTCTCTTACAAAAAGCGTCCAACAAGTATTTATATTACATAATATATGCAACGGTACAAATATGTTTTTTGTAAAGATATGAACACAAAGAAGGAAGCGCCAGGAAAGTTAGAAATTTTAAAACAAAATCTCGTGTAAATGACTAAGTGCTTGCACACACATAGTGACACAGAAACAAATTATGTAAATAAAGAAAATCTGAGAGGACAAAGTAGTCAAAAGCATAAATATTACCTGGCTACAAAAAACGTAAGCAAGGCATAGAATGTAGTTAGTTCGAAACTCACTATTCTATATTTGTAGTAAAATTCAAATCTATGTAGGATTTTATTAAATTTGATAATACAATTGAATGTCGTCTAATTGATAACTGGAAACCTTTTGACACTGGTGGTAGTGAAAATTCTGGTAAGAAAAGTATCTTTTCTTCAGTTGAAGATGAACTTGACGACTGATCGATTGCTTTGATACGTTCATATTCTACAGAATCCAGTGAGGCCCAATTTTCTAATAAAGATAGATATCTATGAAAAAAGTCAATAAATAGGCATAGTAAGCAATCAAATGTTTTAAAATATGAACACTCTTTTTGAAGATAAAGTATACAACGTGATATTAAACACAGGGACAGTGGATCAACAACACGAAAGAACAAGATCAAAAGTACAATACAATCAGTCAGTTATAGTTAACGTTGGTTCAACTTGACATACCATTTTAGAAAAACAAGATTAAATACAGTGATTAGCAAGTGTATTTAAATAATGAGGAAGCAATATAAATGAGCAAGACTAAATGTTGAGAATGTGGTTCAAAAAGCCAGAATTTAATGCATGATGGAGTAATGGAACTCAAAACTAAGGGGAGAACAAAATTTAAATAAATTTGGGACACTGCAATCTGTTTTGCGCAATGCCACTCAATATCTGCAATCAATGAACGGCTTGTCGAGCATAACCACCCCAAACCAGGCAGTCTGTATCTACTAACATAGTTCAGTCCAACAATTAATGATATTATCAGAATGGGTTTTGTGGAAATTTTTTTTAGAAATTTCACTGGTTGAAATCATGGGTCAACTGAAGCCAAATCCATGCAACTGGAAAATCATAGTATTAGTTGATACAGTAGACCAACCAAAAGTCGCCAAATGAAAAAGCCACATTGTGTCGTTCAAGAATCTAATAACAAGTGCATGTCATTAGCCACGAAATGGTTTCGTTTCTTAAGAATATATATATATATATATATATATATATATATATATATATATATATATATATATATGAGTGCTTATTGATTTGATTCGATTCATCTCAACAAATATTATTTGCCACTATCAGTCTTCTTACTCGGTAGCCGTTTGGGAGCTGGTGTATAAGACGTTTATGTCAGTATTTCAACCACTTTGTATATTTAGGAATTTTTTTTCGCAGACAGCATCGATAAACTTTGCGACTAGAAACGTATTTCCGTTTTCATCCTTGTCTTAAGTTTAGCTTCAACTATACTGTTGACTGTCCTAAAATACTGTACAGTTATTCAGCTACAGATTTTGAAAACATTCAGGAAAAAATACAATAACCAATGAATCAAAGTATTACTTAAGATTCGGATTGTAGTTGGGCAATTATGTGATTAGTCTATTGACGAAAAAGAACATGGTACATTTGACTTGCTTTGTCCACCAGAAAATATAAATATTTTAGACATGACTATATCATAAGTTTTAATTGAATATTTACAAAACAATGAACCACTAACAGACGACATGCCTAATTTATGACTAATAATAATAAAAAGGATAACACACTTAGGAGTTCGAAAAAAGGGTGATTAGTGAACTTTATCTATGTAATAAGAACGTAGCATAGACAATTGCATCATTATTCCTCGATAGTTTGATCCTATAATGACATGATTCTTATAACGAAGTAAATTTTTGAAAGTAAAACTTACGGTGTTATCTTGTGGAGGATTGTAATTTACATTGTTACTACATAACTATTAAATATTTGAATTAGGATAGTTTTATATTCCCCATATTGTAAGCTTTCAGTTGACATATAAACTCCTAAAGCTATTGCAAATTAACTATAGGACTAACATTACTCATATCTCCTTCGTATACATAGCCATAAAAATTCCGTTTTTTCCTATCTATGTTACGATGGTTTCGGGTATTTAGTCTATGTTATAAGTGGAATAGAAGTTTTATCTGCTTGCAGTTCATGTGTTCTGACGTACTTTTGAAATGGGAGGCTGAAATGCGGACGAATAAGCGTTAAAGTATAGACCACTTTTGTCGTAATAGGAAATAAACTACTTAAAATTTGATCTAGATTTTACATACAAATTACTTACTTTTTACATTTATCAACACAATGTTTGATAATTTCTTTACGGAAAATAGGAAAAGGATTTTGTACAATACTTATCATTGATTGCAGATTTAATGCTATCACAGCCTCATTATAAATACGACTCTGTTCTTGATAGATTGGATCCGTACGTCGCTCTTCATAACCAGCTTCATTAAAATACGGTTCTGAATTAAGAATCAAACCTGTAGGAAAAGAAAAGATGGTAAGAAATTCAATATTATATCAAATTTTGTGTATTACCATGAACAATGGACTGAATTAAATATAATATACGAATTCGGATTAATACAATATAAATTATAGATAGAAAGTAGTGGGATATTTGCGTTTTGACTACTTCACACTCTCAAGTATACTTAAAGTATTAAATCAGCTGACCACTCAGCAAACTTTCTTGATGAATTCTAAACTACTCAAAACAACGTAAGTAGTAGTTATACGAATTACTCAAAACTTAATCTCATCCTTTCTAGATGTTAAAGAAAAAACACTAGACGAGAAATTAGTTGGTGATCCGGGGTACGCAATGTTAGGTAGTCAAAAATTAGGAAAACATAACCGCATAGTAATCTTTTCTGGTTTTTAATATTGTCCTAGTTTAAGCCAGTCTGTAATGCAAACTACTAAAGCACTCACATAATAAGCATGGTATAAAGCTATAATAAAACAATTAATCTAATAATGAGAAATATTTATCAATCTCACCCTGAATTGATATAGCTAGTTGTAATAAATTGGACGTTTCAGCACTCCAATTCTCACTGCCCTGACCATTCCATGTACCCAGTAGAGACAGACAAATATGTCCATCAACATACAAATTCGGATTCACTTTTTCATTGCCAAAACTGTAATAATGTACCTTTAATTGAAAATTTATTGAGAAAAATCTTGGAGTACTACAAAAAAGGAAGGCAATGGTAGTGTTTAAGGTGGAATTACTAATGAAAAACAGTAGAGTGCCAAAAAACTTCTTAATTATTGTTTAGGACGTTGCAAAAATGTATATTCGCGACCACAATGAGGACTGAACGCAGAAGATTTAGCTCTCGTGGTGAGCACATTGAATTTAAACTAGTGAATCCTAATTCGGTATTCCAGTCTCTTGAATTCACTCCTTGACCATAGAGTACATTAGGTATATCCGTAAGTTAATGTTTTATAAATATTAGCTTGATTGGCTTTACTGATCATGATTTTCGAATAGAACTCCGAATAACCAGTCTCCCTTACTATATACACATTAAAGACTAAGTCATTGACGGTGAGAAAAAATGAGCCTATGAAAAAAAACATTTTACCCGACTATACTATCAATCGGTGGTAAAGTGAATCATGAATCTTGCTATGAATATCTCTCTATATATTTTATCACCTTATTTCGTAAAACTTTTCACATAAAATATTACATCTTAAGAAAAGTACTAGAAATACACCAAATTATCTAATTTTCGCTGTTGAATGCTAATTTGAACATGTTAAGAAATCCACAGTAGCTTTTCTCCTATTCTCAATTCACCAGTGAACTTCGAGGTTATCTGACCGGTTGTTTTCGTCCTTTGCCTGTATATGTCATTGTGTCCCAAAGATCATCCATTTGTTTCTAAAAAAACAGAGGGCTGCCCCTTTTAAACATGACTCCTTAAACATTAAGGTTTTTCCAAAGTGTATCACACAGGTGCAATTGTTTTTGAAGTGTTTTAGTGTATTTATCGTCTAGTTCACGTAAACCCGATATTGTATTAAGAGAATCCCAATCAATCGCAATTCATCATTCAACTTCTCAAAACATAAGAATAAGAAACATTAACACTGAGTGGTCGAAAACTAGATCATGTGTGAGGATCTTGTTTTTTGTGTCTATCTATCTAAAACAATGAGTTCAAAATGAAGACAATAATCACTAAAAATAATCAGTATATGTCGATTTTCACACTAACCTTATGCCCTTCTTCATTGATCGCTATTTCATTGAAAGTGTGTATGGTTAAACAACTTTACTTGAACTATATATATATATATATATATATATATATATATATATATATATATATATATATATATATATATATATATATATAAATTGTTCAATAACTGAGTAACCAAAGAAAGACAAGTGTCACTCCATTTTAAAGCTTGTAATTCCATATTCCAAGTTCGATTTATTTAAAAAAAATATTGTCAGTTAATGCAATAGTAAGATTTTTATTTTTGGTAAAACTGAATACCATGCTAGAAAAAGTACAGAATTTCAATACTAATGTATTTATTTAGTCCAAGAATACGTACGGTCATGTACTTCGTTGAAGGCATTGTTTATGCAGAAGAGCAAAACTTTTACACGGCTGTTCAAACTAAGTGGAAGTATGAGGATTCGAAAATGTAGCAGATGGTTTGAAGTTGAATGAATCAACTATGCTGTAAATAAATAATTAAGTACAGATTCGTGTACCACTTTTGAGAGACTTTATGAGTGAGGGACAATGATACTACTCAACTGCTCAAACCGAAGTAAATGAAGCGGGACTAGTAAATGTAACTTAGTGATCGAACGTTGAACATCAACGTATACTCGTATATAGCGAAACACCACTGGATGCCAACTCATTGGTCTAGATGTTGAAGATTGGTGTGTTAGATGGAGTGTTTTGGGTTTGATCCCCGAGTGCGAAGTCATGGATCTGAACTGTTGAGGGACCTCATACTAGGATGAAATGGCTATCCAGTGCATCCAAATTTGCAATGGTAGTCTGATATTGATCAATTCATGGTATTAATTTTAAAAAAATATAATAAACATACATTTCAGTAATTCACAAATTCTGATTCCCATTTTTGGTTTTACCTGCCAATATCAAAAGATAATCCATAATATACGGTGTAAATAAACATGCTTACAGGATCCGAAGAGTTTAATATCTCAAGGAATCAAAAGTGTAAAACAACAGCTTTGTTTATGTGATAACAAATATTACTTTAAGACAAGTCATGAAAATAACAAACAAATCAGAAGTAACCAATCAGATAAGTGTAAAAGTCAATAGGGTAATGCGAAATTAAAAGTTATCGTAGATTTTGCTGTTCGTTAGAACTAAAATTTATAAGGAGAGATAAAAAAGCAAATAATTTGAGGGCTTCCCAACATAAATATATACGATAGTTTACTTTTTAGAGCATTTGTGTTTTGTCCACTAATAGGTTGCTAGGTTCGATGCCCACCACTTTACCTGTTTTAATTTCAGCGGCTGAGTAGCACATGAGTAACATTTAGAGAAAAATTATGGATTTAAACCACAGGACAGCGGCGAACTACCTAAATCAGTAGGTTGCATGTCCAAAAACTGTTACAACTACTTCGACTCTCAGTATACAGAACTGTGAAGATTATAAAATGATATTGATATCACGAATTGACCTATCGATGGATGGCCAAGTTAGGTCAGTTTGTGATATACTAATTATAGTTTGGTTTTGGTGACTGAATGATATCACTAAGTTTCTTATAAACAGTGTGGTTTAAAGCACAACACATAAACCTGTACTTGATGAGCTAGATCGAGAAAGTTGAACAAATCTATAGTTTAACACCAACGTATCACGCAAATAAATTCTAATCGCCAATATGGTAATAATATTATTCATCGAATAGAACAACAATCTACCTGCGGTGGGGTTGTAGGATAACTTGATGGCAAACCAACATCAAAAAAGAATAAACAATGTTCATAGGGTGTACCAGATGCACCAATAATCATTATTGAATAAAGATCTATCCGATCTTCGAATCCTTTAACAATAATATCACTTGGAAGAATGGTGGATAGAAGAGAGATCTGTTGACAATTAGAAGCAATTATAATAATGATAGAAAGAATTGATTTTCAAATTATACGTACAGAAAAGTGAATGTTTAGAAAATTTTCTAATCTTATATTTTTTTATTATCGTATGGAGTGTGAAATACCCTACGTTGCTCAAACTTAGACTAATTTGTAAGGATTCGTATTACCTGGTTGTTAATAATATTAAGCATTAAAACTGATTGGTCTCTACTAATATATATGCATCTTGAGTGGATTGCGTCATTGAGTGAACAACGAGATCCATACACAAACAGCTAATGAATCCAATATAGGTCTAAACATGAGCCCTGGATTCCACTACTTGAAACAGTTTAAATCGATTTGAAACCGTAGTTATATCAAAAATATTTTCAGTTTGTAAATGGCCATTATCGACTACGAAGAGAAACGATCGTAAGAAAGTAAATTCAACATTCGTTACTATAACGCAAGTATTGTAGGCACTTGCTGAAACCCGAAAACGAGACACAACATACTTAACTAACTAAGCAATCGACTAGTTAACACATATGCCAGAATCGAAAGAAACAAAACAATAAATAAAATACATTATATATATGGAATTTCAATAGCTGATATCATGAGTCAATTGAAACTACACTACCATGGAAAACCTGGACGGCCATTTCCTACTATAGTGGGACATCTAGGCAGTGTGCACTCACAACCCCGTCTCGCGAGCGAACGCCTAACCTATAGACTACTGAGTCGGCTTCCAACGGTGCTAATTTCTAACCTCAACCAATCAAGTGTCTAAGGCTTCCAGGTTTTCCAGGGTGGAGTAGCTTTCTTCATATTTTGTGTGTTACACGGATTATCAATAGTAAATTCACGAATCTTGTTCCTTTATTCGTTTCATGATCGACAGGTCATGTAAATCCACAAATTTCTCAAAATTCCTTAGTAGGTACATAACAAATCTAAATGAGTGGTCTGCAGCCCCTCTTTAACAATCATAACTCAGGTAATTGTGTAATTAAAAGTAGCTGACCATGCAACACCACAAATAATAAATGTTCATTAGTTACTAATTAGGACTATCTTTTGGTAGAATGTGTTATTTGCTCTGGATAGTTTATTTGCTAAAGTTTCATTATCATTTTGGACATCTTCGGAGCTTATTCCATTTATAAATTTCCAGGACATTGATTAGAAACTTCCCAACTACATCATGTAGCTGAGAGAACACAACCACCACCGAAAGGTGGATACACCTGAACTGGAAATCGTCTTTATTTTGTGATCAGTAAATCGATTTAATAATAATTAGTTAGTCAAAAGAAAGCATACAATTAAAATTAGTATTTAGCGAGAAATAGATGCAAAATAAAAACTACTCTTTTTAGTTCACCACTTTGCATTATTCTTTAATAAATTGTAATCGCGACTCGTCCACATTTTCGTCTTGAAGTTGTATTCCACAATATTGTATGTATTCACTTTTCTTAGTACTGTCATTAATGTTTACTCCGTTGTTTATACTAACATGAATATGATATCAGTTGTAGTGGAAAAAATCTCTAATCACTATCAGATTTTAAGAAATTAATCCTTATTTGTGAAGATGATATTTGACATAATCACAATCGATTGATCACTGGGTGGTGATCAATGTCATGCTTGTCTAGTCCTTATTAGTGCAGATCGAATGCTATCGATCATATTGCAATGTGGCCACCAGTCTGGGTGACTCGACACTGCGAGCACTAATAAGGACTAGACAAGCATGGCATTGATCACCGCCCAGTGATCAATCAATTGTGATTACATCTCAGTCCTACAGAAGGTTAGTCACGGCTCGGATAGCTCAGTGGTAACGTCTCTGACTATGAAGCTGGGTGACACGAGATCGAATCCGCCAGGGGCACCAGTTCCCTCAAGATTACAGGTACACCCTGCTGACGAGTGCCAAGTAGCACGAAACCCGGGTCCAGGGTTTCCTGATATTTGACATAACCACACCGTATAGAATTTAAATAATTCCAACGTTTCTTTCAGCAAACTTGTCTGAACTTCTTCAGTGTAATAATCAAAATTAAGATTATCAAAGAACATATAACATTTAACAATTAAATCTACACTAAATACTTATTCAATCATATTCAGATAGATGCCGACTTTAGTTAGTAGGAAATTAATTTGAGTCACTAAGATGTGAATCACGTGAAAAGTACATAATGTGAAATTAAATGAATGAGTGATTGTGTGTGTGTGCAAATCCAAGTTAATAATGGTTATCATTTGGTGAATGACTATTAATCATTTGTTTATTCAACGGTAAAAATAAAAGTACAAATTGAAAATATCTTCAAATATCAGAGGGAATGTAAAATAGCGTCGGATGCCTCAGATACTGGACACAAGATCAACTTTGAAAGGACCAAAATACTTCAGAATGTGTTTGGTATGCATCAAGAAAGTTAACAATAGAAGTTCTATATATATGGACCAATCAGAACGGCGTGAACAGAAGAGATGGCATTCAACTAGTCTCCTCCTAGCAAATGATCATCAACAAGTAAATTGAACCTTTTCTTTATCCATTCTGTTTATGTTACGTTCAGCCCATTTTCTGACAGAAATAAATTCGAATATTTTGACGTCATAACTACTTATTTGAAGATTTTCATTTTACATTCCCTCTGATATTTGAAGATATTTTCAATTTGTACTTTTATTTTTACCGTTGAATAAACAAATGATCAATAGTCATTCACCAAATGATAACCATTATTAACTTAGATTTGCACACACTCACACACACAATCACTCATTCATTTATTTTCACACTATGTACTTTTCACGTGATTCACATCTTAGTGACTCAAATTAATTTCCTACTAACTAAAGTCGGCATCTATCTGAATATGATTGAATAAGTATTTAGTGTAGATTTAATTGTTAAATGTTATATGTTCTTTGATAATCTTAATTTTGATTATTACACTGAAGAAGTTCAGACAAGTTTGCTGAACGAAACGATTAGCAGCTGTTATAAAAAATTCTAACGATGCGAAAAAGAAACTGATAACCATTTATCATCAAGTTTGAAATATGAAAAAATCAGCTTAAGGCTTTAAAAAAATAACTCACATCACGTTGTAAAGCTTTATGGAATGCTTTCGGTAGCGTTTTCTGGCTTGATTTATAAAATCGATGATAAGAAGGGGCAGTGGGTTCCATAATGAATTGGCCTATTTTAAACGAATAATTTGAAAAATGAAAGAATTTGTATAAAGTGATAAAAAAAAAATAGCTCAACAGTGTTAAGATATGATGACACCAGAGCAACACAGTGGAGATATAATGAGAATTTACGAAAATCTATCAATTTATAAATATATAACATATATTCTCGAGCACAAATGACTGATCAATGAGTGGTAACTAGTGTCATGTTTGTCTAATCTCCTTAGTGGTAACCGAAGTCTCTTGAAGTCGCGGTGTCGTCATTTGTCTAAATACATCAACATCACGTACACCATGTAGAGACGGTAAGTGGTCGGAAGTAGTCAACAGGAAACACTGGACGTTCATGCTAGTTGGCAATTGTCAACAAGGTGAGACCTGACTGACTGACTATAATCTTGAGAGAACTGATGTTCACTATGGGATTTGGATACGTATCACCAAACTTCACAGTTTGAAACGCTACTATTGAGACTATATTAATGAGAACAGTAAAAAAGCAACTTCTTCTGTGTTTATGACTTTTTAACTAAAAGTAAGAGAAGCATATAAAAGCCTAATATATGAGTATAAAATACAACTGCGAATCGTATTTCAAACAAAAGCAATATTCAGTGTTCATTAATTAATACGAAACGAAGATCATAATGATGAATAAAATAGTAGTGTGAATATGTGACTTCAAATGGTTTTACCTATTCAACATTACCCAAAACCTCAAAAGAGCATTAGTTTGCACAGTTTAACGAAATAATTGAATACCATTCAGCTATGTTTATAAGTATAAAACATAATTACATATATTTAAGTAGTTTTCTGGGCCATTTTAATTTTATAAGTCAACCGATTCTAAGGCTGTTGCTTGTAAATACATGTTATCAAAGTATTGATTAAAAGACACAACAATTTTTATTATTGTTATCATCTACACGTTCTCTTTAAAGATTATATGAGGCATACACTATTTACTAGTACACATTTTAATTTTTTTCCACGAATGAAAAATCACAAAGATACGTACAGTGTATAAGATTATAAATTAAAATCAAGAAAAATATTAGCATTCGGAATTTTCATAATAATATTACCTATTTATTTCAATACAAAATCATGAGAATAAATGTGTATGTTGTTGGAATTAGACAATATAACGTAGGATCCAACTCAAATGTGAGTCGGATAAAGTTGCCAAGCCAAATTTAGCATAAAGAGGAGATATGGCAAGGACATTGAAATATTAATATAACTGAGCGATAATCAGAAAAAGAAAAGAAATCGCAAAAAATCAATCATACACAATGTTGCAACAAGTTCCTGTTATACTGCCGCTAATTATGTTGAATTAATAAACAGGCTGGAGTGGAGTGTCGTTGGATCGGCCTGAATATTATACATTTTATTTCATTTAATCTACATGAAATCTTGTACCAATGAGATTTTGTTAGGGGCACTGATTGAGCTTTTGACGTAGAGGCCCTAATCCACAAGACAATGCAGCAACGTCACGAGCTCTCGTCTCATGGTAGCAGGTGATTAAAACAAGTTTCACACGCTACTCATTCCCTCATGATCTTGAAGCTCTAGTACACTACATGTTTGGAATTACGGTTTTCTAACTCCCCTTGGTGGAAATTCTGCATCTCTCACTTTCGTAAACAACATCCTCCCACCTGAAGACGATGAGAAAGAAAGGCTGAAAACGTAAATTCCCACGAGAAAATTTTAACAGAGTGACAGGACTTTCCTCAACCTCGACCGTCTCAGGGCCCATAACCATAAACACACGCTGCAAGAGAGTGTGCTACATTGGTTTTCAAAAGAACTAAACAAAATTTACGTTCGTTACAATCTCAATAACACACATTAATCATGTACCGCAACCACACAAGTATCAAGGACCCTGGTGAACCATTCTACTTAATTTGCAAAATCTTTCCTTTTCGAAGCCGCATAATTTCTATATTCCATTTTTCTTAATATTATATACTCTTCGATTACGTATATGCTTGATTTCATTTCCTTGTGCTGATATGCTGCAGCAACTTGAGTCAATGTACATTTATATCTGGCTGTGTTGATTATGACTGACTGAAATCACAATAATTCATTGCATATTTTGTAATAAAAACAAGTATTGACAGGATCACGAAAAGAAATTGATTCAAACTCAGATGGATGGATTTTTGCATCGAGAATTCACGAATTTCAAGATTAGAAAGTGATTAACAAGCTTGATAAATTCGCAAACAAATACACTATACATATAGTGAAGCTTCATTCATTTTTTAGCAAAAGATACTTCATTTGACCTATTCATGTGCTTATCGGTTTTTAAATGGTGTACCTCTGTGCTGAGGGCTTTATGTTTTACATGTATATCGCTTAGAAAATCTGTATTGATTGGAATGTATACACGTTTACTTATTACCAACTAAGCTAAATGGGTCAATTTAGCGTCCAAAGAAGTGATATCACCTTACTATAAGCTCACTTTTATAAACCACTAAAATTTAATCAACTGCAATACAATGACACAGTGCTTACCTCTTTGTTCCACTGGAAGTGACTCTACACTTGAATCAGAAAGAATACATTTTGTTGAAAAATTGAGAGACAACGGTTCAATTGATATATTTTCAATATTTGAAGACAAACTCGCCAACATACATTTTTCTGTATTTGCGGTTGTCGAGTCTTCTGCAACCTGAGTGCATTTGATGAGAGAAAAATATTGAACAGAGAGTAACGATAACAAAAGAAAATTTATAGTTTTACAACACAGCTTGTTGTAGTTAGACAACGATTTAAAACCAGTAAGCACTAGGCACCTCGTTTAGTCCAGATGTAGAACTCATCAGTACCGAGCAGCCAAAACCACACAGATGACCGGACCTGGGACCTTTAGGCATCGTGGTGAACGCTCAATCATGAGACCACTGAGATTCGATCCAATGTTTAACATCCTCAACTTTATTCATTTGGATATATTACGCTTCCAGCATCGTTGCTTACTGCTGATAAGTGACTTACACGCGACAAAGTCACGACTTCGAAATAGGATTTCAAGAATTGCTTCTGGATGTTAGTAAACAGTAAACACATTGTCATATTTTAGCATAGAAAATGAAAGGCCTTTATGACCCTGGTTCGTTCACTAGGGAGGTAGTAGACAATCACCACTGGGAAGTAACATATTAGAAGGAAACAGATGTCCAGTGGTTTCCGGTTTAAAATGGTTGTTTAACTAAATTCAGTTCGTGAAGTAAATCACGGAACTGGATAACTTCTATAAAAAGTTATTCTAATATTGGTAATCAAAGTCCCAGGGTTACTGATTTGGGCACAAACAATCTGATATTATAAGATATTATAAAATCTAAGCTCAAAATACAGTAGAACACAATGATAAAACATTGCTCTGCAAACTAAACGGAAATTAAACCAAAGTGAATATTTCAGGACAAAAATAAAAAACATATTCAGTCATAAACATCAGTGATTAACAAAGGGAATTTGGTGCATATGAGAATTTACAGATTGGCAATGGAGGAATACTTTGGACTCAAAAAAAAAACAATCAGTCAACACTAAAGTCAGGATTTTCAATGTAAACGTCAAAACAGTTCTATTGTACGTAGCTGACATTTGGTAAATTACCACAACCATTATCAAAAAAGTATAGGTATTTATGAACAGTTATCTGTGACAGACACTAGCTATAACCTACTGTGATAGAGAGCAAACCACCTTGTAGATGGTGTTATAATGATCGACGTCCGAAATATGATAGTGATACACAACGTGCCACGCGCTAACACTTCAACTGACTACTTGAGGGAGTACACAAGAGTGGACAAGAAAGTATATTGAGTAACACACAAATAATTATATATATATATATATATATATATATATATATATATATATATATATATATATATATATATATATATTCGAAAATGGAAGACATGTAAACAATGTAGTGAATTGAGAATTGTAAACCACCGGACTCCGGCTCAGTGGTCTGAAAACAAAGCTCAGTCACGAGGCCTTAAGGACCTGAGATCAGTCGCAGATGGGGTCGGAGAGTCCCATATTAGAACGAGACAGCTGACTAATGTTTTCTAGTTTGCAGTGGTAAGTTATGCAAATCATGGAAAACAACTTAATTCTAAGGAACGCAAAATTCAAATTATATATGAGGATTTTCGATGGTAACGTAATGCATCTGGCTTTTAGAGATAATAGCTTAATTTGCAAAAAAGAGTGACTTACTGTTTCAATGGGTAAGGTTGTAGCATCTGAGGAAGAAATTGCCTTCAATTTGCATGCTAACTTCATATTTTCTTCCAAGTTATTGGCATTGTCATTGTTAATTAACTCGGGTTCAATGGTACATTTATCAGAGTCAGATTTATCTATTGTAGATCGATGATCATCAGCAATATCAGTATTACTTGTTATCACTGAAAGATCATTCAAATCTGATTTTTGTATACATTGTGCAGCGCATTCATGAAGCCATGCCATAATTTCATTATTTAAATCAGACAATTGTTCTAGAATATCTTTTTGCAGATTATGTAGAAATTTGGCCAATTTTATAATTACCTCAGTACTACATATGTAATTAAATAGATAACAATATAAATAATATTCACTAGATGACAGAACGAAACACACACAAAATTTAGAAATAGGATAGGGATTTGTGTTTGTCCTAATTTAACTGGAGTAGTAATTAATAACAATAAATGACCCAGTATATCCACAAATAATAAAACATTACTAGTAACTGAAGGTCTGAGATAACATGTCGATATTCTGTAGAGTTACCAGGTCGTGATAGAAGAAACATTTTACAAATCGATACTGTTTGACTATCAGGTATCATTACAAGACGGTTCCATGTTGTCATTTACGAAGTAAATGTGCAAGGGAAGTGAATATTCCGACATGTAAACCAAATATGGGACAGAGGGACTTTGCCATCTCAAGTACTATTTATATTTAATTTGCACGTGAACGGTATTGTGAATACATATCATTCACATTGAGGGGACCCAAATATCGGATGCGGTAGTTAGTCTTTAAGAAAATCTACGGTAAATCACCAGTCACTCAGACTCATGGGGCTGAAACTAAAAAAAGAATTAATTATCAAAATGGGAGCGTGGATAAACCGGCTAAATAAGGACCGATAATCATGTTTAAAGATAATTTAGTATGTGACGAATGTATACGTAAGCATATATCCCTGTATAAATGACTTATATGCATACAGTCATTCAGATTTGGCATTAAAACTTCCTGTACATTACAAGTCATCTTACTCTACATTGCTAGTTAGAAATGCATTAAAAAGCGTGGATTGACCGTTGGTCAGTCATGAGCAAAGTTGAACCTGATATATATGTAGGTCTGTCTAAATTCCCACACAAACTGAATCGGGTCGGAGAACATAGCATATATTATCTCCTGTGATTCATGAGGAAATCATTCATAAAAAGTCACTTTGTGGAATGTAACAGTTAATTATGAAAAGCAGTTTACCGTATTTCAATTTTTAGTTACCATTAACTAATATTTTATAAATTTAAATCAAGTAGTGCAATAGTACTGTACTGACGTATAGACAAATTCAAAATAGAAAAGAATCCTACACTGATACAGACATATACATATCGTATAAAAAGTTGAAAAAATATGAGAGGTATTACTGACTTTATCGCTATGGTATAATTACTCCGTAGGCCTTCAATTTTCAATCCTCTTCTGTTGGAACGTAGCAAGAAATGAATTGTTTCATTTCTATTTAGTACTTCAATAGTACTGGATGTGCAATTATCTGAAAAACGAAACAGATATGGGTAATTTTAAATTTACCTCATCACAAGAGAAACCATCAAGTGGACAATCTTAAAGGAAGTTTTATGTAACAGATTCATCGTGGATAAGACGCACATTTCGTCATATTTGGGATTAGTCAACCAGATGTACCTCCATTCTAGTAATAACATTCATATTGAGACTCTATCCAAGTAAATTACACTCAGCGAATAATGCTTTGAGGTTTGAAACGAAAAGTACTGGGTTTGAGCTTTTGTGTGGAAATCATAACTATGATACAAGTACATAAAGATTATGAGTCCTAAGTAGGACGAAACGCGTTTCTTAGATTCCACTATTAACGGAAATCAAAGCTCAAATGAATTTTAGAGAAAGTTTAATCATCTTAGAATAACCATAAACTGTGAGCACTGTTATTAGACCTTCGGAAATGCAACTTCCCACGCAAATGTTTTCTATTAGTTTATCTAATTCCCATACTTAATATTTAACGAGGTACGTAGTATTTGCACTGAATTGTAGATTACAACACACGTTATTACAAGGTCTAGAATGAGAAAACAATAAAAATAAAAGACAACATATTGGAGTAACACTAACTTGAAGGATTTTGTTGGCCAGACACATAAGTCTCTTCGTCAGGGATACTTTTCGTTGCGTATTCTATATCTGATGGCTTGCTCAAACAATAAACATCTTCATCTAATGAAACGAAATTGACTGGATCGGACAATTTCGCTTGCTCATGTGTGGATAATGGAAAAGATTCAAATAAACGTAGTATAGCGCCAATATGTTTTTCGAATAAATTGGAACGGAAATCACACAAGTGCCACTAGAACGGAAATTAAGAAAAAAGATATTACTTAAAGACTTCGTATATTTAAAGTTTCGCAGAAATACCAGATGGACGGGTTTTCAAAAAAGGTATTACGGTATTACTTAACGAAATATTGTGAAGATAAAATTTGTCTTTGTTAGAGTTAATATAGACGTCTGCAGTAAATTCAAGACCGAATTTTAATACAAATAAGGTAAAACAGATTCGTTCATCATCTGTCAATCATAAAAGGTTATTTTGCGAGAGTTAATCCGAAAACACTCTGGCATCTTCGTCCGATTTGGCCGGCTTTAATATCGTACTAAGAGCTAGAGCTGAGACAGCACTGATCAATTGAATCCCCATCACCAGTAGCTTATGTCCAATTCGATTACAAAGCTCCATCAAAGTCAGAAAACATCGGTTTGGAAAACGATATCTTTTCGTTATATTTGCCTGTTCCCTAAACAGAATGCAACCCCGATGCAATCAAGGATGAGTTTTATCAAAAATTGGGAGATCTCAAGAAAGCACGTTTCGCAAATATGTTAGTGCCAGCCGGAAATTCGGATGCACAGATTAGGCGTCTAGGTGGTCATTGGGAACTTGCTAGTTGCAGGTTAAATAACGACTGTCTCCCACAACTCACACAGATTACAACCAGTTTCTGGCTATCATTAGTTATTAACACACTCATAATCGATCTGCTATATGACACTCTCCATCTCCATCTCACTGTGGACTTAGATTGATCACATTGAGATCAGCTACCGCTGGCGTGGTTGTGTACAAGACTATCGAAGTACGTGTCCGAACTCTGATCATGCCCTCGTTCGCACTAACCTTATTTTACGTTTCAGTAGTCAGCAAACTGGTCTTCCTAAAAGGATTAATTTAAGCGCATTGGCTGCAGCTGCGTTTGGAACCAAACTTTAAATCGAGCTAGGTTCAGACCTAGCTAACAACCCACCCAAAATTATGGACAAGCACTGGCTGAATTTGCATGGTCCCATGAAAATGTCGAGTAAAGTCGCTTGCTACTTCGCAAAAGCTCATGTTTATAACCCCAGGCTTCTCACAGTTAGTCAAGATATATCAGTCTTCTCTGGCTAACCGCGAGTTCGGCAATAAACGTAGATCTTCGCGTAAGAAAATTATCCAAAGTTTGTATAAGGACCGAAGAGCCATTATATACTGATCTCGTTCACTTATTACCATTCATTTAATTATTTTTGATTGTTAACCCTCCTCCCTTTATATCTTAACAACTTCATTTAGTTGTTTGGGAGGCGCGTGTTTATTTAGATGCCCATTTATACTAATATTTATGTGAATAAATAAATACCATGATGTGTGATATTTGCTGGTGCACAAGCAGGTGGAAAAACCAACATATAACACCAATCTTTGAAGTTACTTGTAATTGGACAAAGTATTAAGAGATGTAAAGTGCCTGATTTAGGTCTGTGTGATTACTGTAACCAATGGCTAGGGAGTTTTGGTGACATAGCTGTGAATGAATCGAAATGGTGCAGATCCATTCATTTTATTTCTTGCCTTAGATCAAATGTCTTGAGAATACCTCAAAAAAGTTGACCAGCTTTGTGCCATAATTGGGAAAAGCTCATTACTTTTATATCGCACATCGAAACTGGTTCGAGAAATACTAACATGAATGCATACCAGTAAATTAAGCATATTCTATAATTTGTAATATAGAATTATACTTACCATTTTCCTGATTCTGTAATCCTTAATCAACCGGAATGCTTCGTAGAGTAATGACCGTCCAGTAGTGAGCATTTCTACACACGATATAGCTTCTACTTCATCAGCGTCACTCCATACATTTTCTCTCTTAGTTAATAAAGATGTATCACTAGTCGAATCTTCACTATGAGATGTATTCAATGAAGCAGAACTAACAGTAATTATTTCCGTAGGATCGATTAGAGCTGCATTACGAAGTGCTGAGTAAACCTGTTCAAGGATATCATCTGCAATGCCAGAAATTGTAACAAAACACCGCATTAACCACAAAACAAATGTAACTCGATCAGAAAATAGTCTGTGCGCAGATTTAACGTGTTGACTGGCAAGTGAAAGTTTAATTCCAACAGGTCTATGAGTTAAAAGAAAAGCATATAAATTATAATTCACTAAAAAATCGATAAATTGATTGACGATAAGGGTAAAACATTTAAATAACCTATTTTACAAGTTTAAAAACAAATAGGTACAATAAATAGTCAATGGTTGGAAAAGTTTATAGTTGAACTCTGTACAGATTCAAAATAAATGGAAGTCAGTGACGAGATGGGGACTTGGCAAAGGACAAAACAATACAAAATGAGGTTAAAATGATCAGATTCATATGAATCGGATAGTGATATAAGTATACATGCTACAGAAATACCGGGAACGTATCACCATTATAATCGGGAGAAATGGATTTATTGAGTTATAATCACATTGTATCAAAGTATAATGGAGCACTGAGGTAAATAGTTTAATTAAACATAAATCATGATTTTTCAGGTATGTTATATATACGTTTATTTATTTATTTTAACACATAGATATTGGTACAAGGAGGCACCAAATACATATGCGCCACATAGATCTCATTTGATTTGTGTGAGGGATGTGATACTGCCCTGGTGCCCAAACAGAAACAGGTGCTTTTCTTAAGGCGGCAACACACGGAGCCTTCGACCTGAAGGTCTGGTCCACAAGGCAGTGGAGCAATGTCAGAAGATGCATTCTCATGGTAGCCGGAGACCAAAGATTGGTTCATACGTCATTTGTTCCTTCAGGATACTGGAGCCATCCCTTATGTACCACTGGTTTGGAATCAGGATTTTCTAACTTCCCTAAGTAGACCTTCAATATCCACCAATCCGGTTAAAGCGCTGGACATTCGCTTTTCATCCTCTCAATTCGGTAAACAACACCCCGCCACGAGGAGGCAGTGAGTAGGACTTCCCTGGCAGAGGCTATATACGCGTGGCCATGTGAGAGCATTTCGAAAGGGAGAGCGGACTCCCCACTCTCGGCCGTACCAAGGCATTTGGGAGCCGTAGCTCAGTGGATAGAGCACTGGTTTAGTAAACCAGAGGTCGGGAGTTCGATCCTCCCTGGAGGAAGTGTGTTTGCAATCAATTCGAATTGTATGTACGTAGAAGATGTTTTAATGCAGTAAATAGTAGGGTATAAGTAACTCAAGTATAATTATTACGGAAGTTTCGACGCGAACATCGAAAATGGGATACAGGCACATGTAGTTGATGAGTCCTAAATAAGACGAAACGCGTGTTTATTATTGAACTACTAGAAACTTTTAAAAATCTAATAAAAAATAATACTGACACTTGGAATCGGGGAATCATATGACTAACACAAGAAATTGTAAAAACGACGATCGATATGATACTACCACGGAGATATTCGAAACAGAATGCAATATGACGGGTTCAAACTATACCAAATGACTTTTTTAACCAAAAATCGAGTTTACCGCGAAACGGATTGAAGACGAAAGTGTGAAATTGAAATGATGGACAATAATTATTCAACTTCATTGAAGAATGAAGGACCTATACTTCCCATATACTACAATCGTTTATTTATTCAATGACTTATGGTCACATTTATCCTCGGGTTAAATATTTTGTATATAGCCATGTTATTTTGTTAGATGAAAGATACCTATTCCTCTGACTAGTGATCCTGTCATTGACCTCAGTTCATTCAAGGGTTTGGGTCAGTAGTTATATCTTGTGAGCAGCCATCTATCGGCCACATCGTATCATTGCATTTCATCTGTCGATCAACAATCCATTCACTCATTTCACAATTACAAACCTTATTTAAATAATCGGGCTTTTCCAACATAACAGAAAGTTGTAGGTGTTTTTTTAAGTTTGAGGCGTCTTTGAAAATCAGACACTAAGAAGGATAGCTTTAAGGCTCATGCGGTTAACAAATATTTGGATGACAATTTCCAAAAATACGCTTTACAATAGCATATAGTCTAATTTTCAGTGAACATTTCCTTAATACATGGAGTCAATTGTTGAAGAATATATTAGACAGACCGGAAATGAGTTGATTAATGTTAATCACTGCTTCAAAAAATAATCATGTTACTGTAAAACGGTGAAAATGTATCATCACTTTTATATTTTAGGTGATAATTTCATAAGTAAGGAAAACAATGAATTAGTGCATGAATTATTTTTTTTACCGTAAATCATCTTCATATGTTGGTTGCATAACTTGTAAACACGCACTGTCATTATCATTTTTACTACCAGATGAGTTAGATGAAGAAGACGAAGAGCAGGAACCAGATGTAGAATAAAAGCTTGAACACGACGAAGATTCCGAAGAAGTTGAATACAATTCCCACTTTTCGGTTTTTTCATCATCTGAATCGCTGAATTCTGAGTCGAAGGAACCTTCATCATCTGTAGAATCATCATCCTAATAATAAAACATTTGAAAAAATAACACATTAAAAACAATGAGTTTGAAATAGCAAACATTTGTAGCTCAAGAGGATGATATTATTGAAATCCTATACATTAGGCTGCTAAGAGTAAATCTTAAATGGTGAACTGACAAATCTTCTCCAACTTTGAATGGGGTTGACGAGTATCAGTGAGCGTTGTCGACCCTAAACAAACAATACTAGGTAAAGACACAAAGTCTGTCGATGAGGTGTTGAATCTTCAACAATTAAGGTGGCTGGAATATGTGTTTATTCGTCGTTACAAAGATGAAAACAATAAAAGCGACTGAGTTTTTTAGTGATGTGGAACAATTTCATATTTTCAGTATACAAGTTAGAAATCGGAACATTACTTTAGTCGTTTTGATTCGGACAAGCAGGTGATGTAGTACCATTAATCCTTTGAATAAAACATATATGACTTAATTGAAACCATTAACCGATCAATATTAGACTAATATCACTTTATACTTAGTGACTGTGTTTTATAACCGACCGAGTAGTAAGATGTCACTTACCATAAAATATTCATGTATATGATAATTTTTAAGAATAATAATGTAATTTGTTAATCAACCAAGGATTTATGTACTCAGTTCTGATTCAAACATTTTGTATGACAATTTTTAATATAATGAAGCGTTTCAAAAACCGAAGTATGTGAAGGTACGGGCGCACCTAAATGACAGCTGAATGTTATAACTAGTAGGCGATTGATTCTTTTCAAGATTTTGACAAATATATGATTTAAATAGAGTCGTACGGTAGCAAGTTCCATGTGTACTTGTTTTCCAAACGACCATACGACATTTAAGATTTATCTAATAAAAACACTCAGAGTTGGCTATGTGTAATAATATGTGCATCATACTAAAATACTTCAGGTTCTAGAGTTGTTTATCGACGAATTTCTACCTCATGGTTACTTTCCCATTATTACTGGGCAACACATAAAAGTCGGCATAACTTTCCATGACATTATTTAGAGAGAAATACACTTTATAATCTGGTGAAGATTCTAACAACCTCGAATTCACAACGTTTACTTAAGCCTTATAATGCATAGAATAAGAATGACTAACTATACTGTGTGCAGTATGAAATTAGCTTTCCAAAAACGAAATCGGACTAACTTACAGCTTCAATTGCTTGTAAACAATCGGTACGATAAACTTCACTTGAAGTTCCATCAATCCAACGAATTACTAGTTTACCTGATTCCGGAATAATATCTTCTAAAACACCAGCAGGATAAATTGAATAATCAGTTTCACTGGCAGATTTGATTAGAACGATGTCACCATAATTCATTTGATATTCTCCAGATCCAGAAATTTCATAGACACCAATTTCTTCCGGAGAACCAAGAGGAATCATTGGCCTTTAATTCAATGTAGTCACATAAATTCGTATTTAGATAGTCAGCAATGGAAAGTTAATTATATAAATGGGAATAGTAGTGGAGTTGAAATTAACTGGACTTTTAAAAGGGCACCATCTTCCATTGGAAGGATAAAATACGATAGAGAACAATCAAATTAATCATACACATTAGTCAATTAACTATTAAAAAATATTTTACTATTTTCAGTTTCACAGTTCAACAAAAAATGATAGATAGTCATGCAATTCATGCAAGAATTAACCATATCCAAATATTTACTCAATATGGTACAACAAACATAGTAAACAGTTTGCTACTATCTTCAATTGGGATGAATAACTGAGAGATGGAAACTCTAAAACTATTTTACAGAGGATCATTATACATTGTGTTATTACCAAATACCTAAGGTCATGGTAATTTTATATCACTTTTGATGGTAAGATTTCATTTCGTGAAGTAACTGATGCTATATGCTCTACCGTTGCTTGATTACGTACCAATTACTTGGTTTTGCATTTTATATAAATCCTAGTCATGTACAGATTGCGATTTCTTATTTGTGGTGCGTTTTGATTATGTAATTGATATATGTAAGCCCATTTATATTTAAGTTATGAAGACAATAAGGAAAATATAATAACAAAAGGTGGATCTGCTTGCCATCTTCGATTCTTGATTGCCTATTGGGGATAGGGACTCGTGTATCAATCGGAATTAAGATTGTCCAGCCACTGTTCATGAACACTAGGTTACTGGTTGAGTATATCTTTAGTCTGATAGGTATACAGAGATCAACTCATTAGCGGACTTTATTATCAAGAGATCGATCAAGCAGGGAGATATAGGAAGTTTCAAATCATGACACACTAATAATCAGGAAGTAAATTATGACTTTAAAATACAACGCGAATTAACACCTTTAAATGGATGTGAATGATCAGTCAAGACTGATCAGATTTCAGTCGAAATATCAACGGCGGGATAATCCGAACCATTAAAAAATTGAATTAAATCTCATATTTGTTGTAAAAGTGAGTGGTTATCAGGATTCAGTAGCTTAGTGGATAAGGAGTTGGTGTTTGAAGCAAAAAGTACTAGGTTCCAGTCTCAGTACCTACATCAACATTAGGATGCAAGTACATCAAAAAGAAACGCGCGTCCTGGATTCCAACGTTAGCAACATTCAATCTATTCTGGAGATTTATAATCACTAATTTACCTTTTTTGCATAGGTTAATTATTTTTACTAATATTACTTTTACACACTTACAAGGAACCAGTTTCAGAATTTCCAGTTTTGAACCACTGAACAAGACAAGTTCGATCATTCGTATTATACGCAAGCGCTACTCCAAGATCTCTAGGGTGATCACAAGACAATTCGATTGTAGAGGATGGAACAGTATTTAGTTTCTCAATCGTTTCGGTAACTGCGACTGAGGATGGGTTATTCACAACTGAATTCGGTGGGATAGGCTGTGAACGGCAATTTTTATCTTGAAAAATATATAGAAAATAAACAAAACGTTAGACAGGTGTGGGCGGATACTGCGAAATTAACGACAATAAAAAAGACAAATGTACGATTAGAAACACCCCTTACAACTAATGAAATAATTGATATTTCAAATTAACAAGACAGGTGAATCAAAAATTGATGGGTCCGCAATAGAATTTGTTCTCTGAGTAACTGAAACAGTAACAATGTATAAATTTCAATGTTGAGAAGAAATGTGTACAACACTTAGGCTCAAACAAACTTACGCCCGTTAACCCTTGTGGGGGATAGACCGTCGACCAGGGATCTTCAACCTACTCTTTCCAGGGCTCTCCTTCCCAGTTGTTCCCGAGTGCCTAGAGTTTGGTCAAAGGAAATTGAGTGTCTGTCACAGATAACTGTTTATAAATACATATACTTCTTTGATGATAGCTGTGGTAATTTACCAAATGTCAGCTACGTACAATAGAATTTTTTCTGACGTTTGCATTGAAAATTCCATATACCCATGTTAATTGTTGCTTTGGTTGTCAAAAGGGGCATCGACCCCTTGAGTTCCTAAGAATCTCAGCTTTCATCATGGGGCATCATAGTTCTTCTAAGTGAAGAACATTCGAATCCCAGAACAGAGTTTAAACGGTTATATTGAGTTATCTCAATAATAATAAGGTTCTTTCCAACGAGATGTGGTTCCTAATCCCATGCCCAAACCTTTTCCTTTGTTCGAGGTCGAGATCGACTATAAAAGAGATTAAGACGGAGTTAACTCAAAGGTAATTAGCTAATAGATAACCATGTTTCATTTATGATGTATTTTTCACTTCCCATCCTAAACCAATTTTTTATTGAATGATACCCCAAACAGTATCTGATGATTTATAATTCCATGTACGAAAACAGGAAAACCGAATTCAACTAAGGGATCCTTTTTCAATAAATTTACCCTTATAATTTCAGACATATACGGCTTCATAATAAATTCCGTTTTTTAATATCTAATGGATTCTGAATCCTACGCAGAAGTTACTTTAGGACATTTCAGCATGTTTTACTGTTTAAAAATATGCAGAATTTGATTATTAGGCTCGTCAGAGAAAATACGGTAGTAAAGGCTTGAGTGACGTACTTATAGTTACCTCAAGCACCTACATATAATGATGACTGAAGTAGTAGAAGGGTTGCAAAATAAAGGTAAAACTGATTAAAGTATAGTCTCATGATTTGATGAACAAACCTTGGATTACTAAAATAAATAAACAGAATGTTGATCGACAGATGAAATGCAATGATATGATGTGGCCGATAGATGGCTGCTCACAAGATATAACTACTGACCCAAACCCTTGAATGAACTGAGGTCAATGACAGGATCACTAGTCAGAGGAATAGGTATCTTTCATCTAACAAAATAACATGGCTATATACAAAATATTTAACCCGAGGATAAATGTGACCATAAGTCATTGAATAAATAAACGATTGTAGTATATGGGAAGTATAGGTTATTCATTCTTCAAGGGAATGGATGCCAAATTATCAGGTTTAATTCTTGTCCCATCATATAGAAAACATATCAGTATCTGAGCTTCTAATACGCTAAGTTACGAGTCAAAATTATTACGAGTATTTATTGTATAAGAATCATCCTCAATGGTTTAAGTAACTACTTACTGAAAAAGAAATAAAATATCGTACGATTAAAAGCAATAAACATCAGTTACCAAAAGGAAGGTGATACCACAGGTGGGTTCTTCAAATATATCCTTTAAAGTCTAGTCGAAAACTTCAAACCATTCAACTGGTATTTCATAAGATAATTTTGAACCCCTCCGCTTTAAAATTGTAGTGTTTACTAGTCAACAACTAATAACTGAATACTGACGATACAAAAAATATATTGTATATATGTAACACAGCATTAGTGTAATCTATAACACATACAAATTGAGAAAACCAAAATTATTCTCACCACTTTTCAAAGAAACTAAAAATCCAGGAAATAAATAATGCTCTATGTGTCCACCAAACGATATTATCTTATCAGAAGCAACACCTTTCGATACAGATCCATCAATCCATTTTATATCATACAGTGAATTAGTTGCATAAATTCGTACAGGTACCCAATCGCCAGCTCTTAAATGAATAGCGCGTTTTTCTTGAATATACTCCGCTTGTCGACGAAGAACACGTAGACGCCTTGAATGTTTTGATAACTTAGTTTTCTTGCAGAAGCGTTCTCTTTTTTCCTCGACATGAGTGTTATTATCATGATTAAAATCATCACCATCAACAGTATTTATTTGATCTGATGGTAAAGTGGTATTCGTTGTAGATTTGTTTACCGAAGCATCTGGCGATAGAATAGAATTTCCATTTCTATTAGTATCATTGAGATCTTTCACCGCAGTAGTAGTACTAGTGGTACAAGAAGTGAGAGTTACTCCGATCGGTGGTGGTGATGGTACTGCTTCTCCTGAGGCTACACGCGCTTCTACTGTAGATTTCAAAGATAAATCAATTTTTGTGGTATTTTCCACGGGATTCAAAACTGATTTATTAACCAGATTTGAATTATCACAAGAAATACGTTTACAAGTTAACGTTATCAGTTGGTGATTACTCTCTTTCACATGATCTATTTTTTTATGTTGTTGATCGTTTTGATCTTGTATTTGTGATTGGTCTTTTGTTTGTTCTAGTGTATCGTTCTCATCAAATTTGGCATCACCATCCTGATTAGAGACATCAGCACTAATATCAATGTATGAAGTGAAAGATCGTGTTGATCTATGAAATCTGTGAGCCCAATGAAAAATGTCTGTGCGAGGAATACGATGTCGTGGATCTACAGTTACTCGCCTACGACGACGTTGCGAAGCAAATAGATTTACCTGTGCCTATAGGAAAGATGAATGTAAAAAAGTAAGACTTGACGAAGGAAAAGTTAACAGAAAGTAGCATACAGGTCATAAGTTAATTAGTAGGTTTTCGAAAATAATTGATGGTCATAAACGATAGTATATTTTAAGTTGTCATTTTTATTTACTGCTCAATGGTTTTTATGACCTAGTTAACTGTAACCTATTTCGTCTATATGGATTCTTAGAATGTCCCCGTATATGCAGGGCTTCAGCTAATAGTCTTTCTTTGGCGGTAAAAAATCTTTTTTTAATTTTCATTATGTCGATGTTAGTGTTATATCTTGTTTCAGACGAATTTAACTCTATTGCTGATCTGTTCCAAAGCTTTTTGAAGTATTTCCAGGATTTAGAAAAATGTTTCAAGCACTTTGTGGTTTTTTATCCTTATATTTATCTACCTAGATGTTTCCTCCTTACATACGACATTACATTTACTATATCTAGTTTCAGTCCTTAATATCAACAACGCAATAGCTTAAACCCTTATCAATAGTGATATATATATAATGGCGTTTGAAGCAAAAAGTACTGGGTTCCAGTCTCAATATTTATATCAACATTGGGACGCAAGTACATCAATTCGACGAGTCCCAAAGAGGAAGAAACGCGCGTCCTGGATTCCACCGTCAACAACAACCCATCTGTTTTAAATATCTGTCACGCTCTTCATGGAAATGAGGACAGCTCCCTTAACTAAAAATCTTTTTCGGGTGTATTTTTAACTGGTCTGCATCTTTTATCAAACAACATTAATCTTTATTTTCCTATTAACTGTACGATAACCGTCCCTTAATATGATAAAACTTTTGTTATAAATAAATAAATAAATACTTGACATATGAAAAGCTGATATACTCCTTTTTTCTCTCAATCTATATTCATTCAACAAAGATGGAGTGACGTGGCATGAGACTTCCAGTCTAGTAATTAGATGCCGAATATTTAGAGCATCCAACACCTCTGCAACATCGTACTCACACTTAACTGAACGTGAATGAAAAGTATATATTACTGATATAAGTGGGGGATGGAATTTTTTTTAATGGTGTGAGCATATTCTAACCTAGAAAAACTTACCCAAAACGGTGTTGTCCTGCTTGGCATTTTTTCTCCTGCTAATAATGCTGAACTTTTCAGACCAGTAACTGATGAGGATTCAACAACTGACTTTCTTAGTTCTTTTTTACTAATGACACTATTTCCATTGAATTTGCTTTGATCTGTCATCGGTTTGTCATCATTCAGTGGAAGTGAAAACACTGCTCCAAGACCGGAAATATCGTTCGTGAACCATTTATATAACAATTGCTCAGGTCGAGTAAAATTGCTCCTTGAAATTATTGTTTTTCAAATTGTGCATAAAATCAATTAAAACAGACAGATTATGTATACACGAACAAGATGGTGAATATCACAATGGTTTATTTATAGCATTTATAAGAAAAATTCTTTCGATATCAAATTAAAATATAAAACGAGAAAAAATGAACTGAATCAACAACGAAATAATATTTTATCACTCTTGTTATGGTTTCTATTTTGAACGATGGAGCCCTTAAAAATAAGGGGATCTCATCCGAAAAGCGTAGCTGGAAGCTGTGTACACGGATATGGACATGGTTACCAAGTTATAATATAAATTAGAAGTATTAATCGAGAATAAACAGTTTAAATCCCTAGTAATGATTTAGAATGACATATTTGTTGTGGATTACTGTATGATGATTCGGTGAATGAGATCATTAATATGAATAAATAGAGTCCAGATTGATAGATGATATGGTAATGTAACCGAGTGATAACTAATAACAACACCGAACTATCCAAACTTCTCTTCCAACGTGAATGAAATGACATCGAAAAACAAAACAGCTAATAGTAGATATTTCCTCTCTGTTAAAATAATATATTTATAGTCAAAATAAACACGATTAAGTGACATAAGCTAATGGAAGACATAGGATTTGTAAACCAATCACTTCTTAACAAATCGTAACCCGATTCGTCAAGCTTTCTACACGGCAACCCCTTTTATTCCAATAAAGTAACGTCCACGTCAGTTCACGATCTTTTCTAGTCTACAAGCGGTGGTTTCTTTGTAGCTATTAAAGTAAGTTTCAGACAGATCTGGGAATTTCCGTATTATTTATTACATTCTGTACTACTACTTCTTTTTTTCATAATATAACATTATGTAATTATTTAAAATAAAATCGTACAAAATCAAAAATTTGTCGCTTACATGTTATAAATTTTATCAGATTCCTGTAGTTTGTAGTACCAAATATCACCTACTTGACAGTTAATAAAAGAGTTTGAAATGACTGATTTTAAATTTCCCAAATCCAATCCATGAATCACACGCGGAGGCGGTTTGTCTGATTGTGAATTTCTTTTACAAAGAAAACAGACTCATAAGTGAAAGTTTACAAAGGTATTTCCTACGTCAATTGTCACGAAGTGTTTTTCTCAGATATAAATCATGCGATTGAAAAAGTAGACAAGCGTAAGTCAGTTAGTCATCAACCCTTTATTTATTGAGATATTAACTCATTTACAAGATGTAAATTAGTGTACTTCGTTACAAATTACACTCTGAATGTGAAGGCTAGTGATACTTTGAGGTTTCCTAAGCTGAAGTTGGTGGAATGAGTCTTAAAGCGCCAACATAGTAACTGAAATCCGAACCCCTTAAGCATTGAACTATTATGAATGTACATGTAGTTGAGATATCCTAAATCCAGAAAACAAGAGTGGAAATTCAAAAGATACGCAGAAGGGAAGAAGAAATATTACCAGCTGTTATAAAAATATAGACAATGAGTATAATACAAATGTAACAAGTGAGATTGAAGTATGAAAGTATGGGAGAACACTGAACTCAATATTTAGAGGAAGATAGAGAAGAAACATAACTGAACCGATGAGAGTAATTCTGCACAATGTTACCTAACACCTATGACCGTAGATCACTATTAATGAACAAATTCCTACCTGTAAATGTACACACCTACAGACATGATCAGAAGTAAAAGTTAGTAACTTTGTGGATGTCTGTCCATTCACGGCTTTTTCCCACCCACTCCTATCTCAACTGGAATTCGGAATCGGTGTACACGGTTATACAAACAAGATCTGATACAGATTTTAAATCTAGCAAGAACTTTGAGTCAAAACATGAGAGCAGCCTTTGTTGAAAGTTAAAATCAACTAACCAAGTGAAAACCAATAACTACGGAACAGCTTCAATTAGTCCATTGAAGATAAACTGAAGTGAATTGTGATCTCTTGAATTTCAAGGGCAAAGGATTAAGTCTTAGGTCTATTTAATCAGGTTCAAGTATAGCTCATAATTTGTACTTGTAACTGTTCGAGACGAAAACATAATAATAATAAGGATAGGACACAAAGTGCTTGAATAAACATAGTTAATATAGACGTGGATTTATATGTTGGAAAATAGTAATACAGAGTATAATAAGTGTTATAGTTACTGATAATCATAGTCAAGATAAAAGAAGTTATGTAAGGGTAATGAAATTAATGACTGATTGTGTAATCACTCAACATAACGAAAAACAAAACAAATATGTGAATATCAATAACATTATGTAAAAAAAAATATCAGAAGACGAAAAAAAGGGGAGACGGTTGGAAAAATTAATAAAGGTTATTTAATAGGTAATGAGTCAATATGGCAGAGAAAGGCTAATCACACTTTCCTTCTGTATACATACATTAGGTTGGAAATGCTTGATAGCAATTGCCTCTGCAAAATGGAGTAAGATTGTTGTTTTTTGTCTGTTAATCATTTTAAATGCATTAGTTATAATAACTCCGTGTCCACTACCAAAATGATGCCTGGTAATTGCACTTGTGAAGGCTTCACTAACTTTCAGCCATAGGTTACTAAGAACGTCTTTAGTATGTACCTGCAGTAGCAAGTACATAAGAAGGACAGAGAGAACGATCTTAATCTTTCATCTTGAATATAATTACCGGTAATCATACAACCTATTCTACTCTGCATTACTATTTTCCAATATATAAATCCACGTTTATATTAACTATGTTCATTTAAACGCTGTGTCCTATTCTTCTTCTTATGTTTCCGTTTCGAACAATCATCTAAACTTCGCAACCTCAAAGTATGTCAAACATTTCCGAGCAGAGAAAGATGGTGGGTAGAATGAAATCTAGGACGCATGCTTCATCTTATTTGGGACTCATCAATTGAAGATACCTGCATTCCAGAGCTGATGTTCATTGAAGAACCCGAATCCAGTACAGTTCTCTTCAAACACCATTGCATTTTTCACTTAGTTACTGAGTTCAGATGGCTAATGGCTTGTTCAATGGAAAGAATTTTAATGTACGTACTCGTTGTTCGAATCCTACCATTGACTTTTAGCACTGCAACTTGGCACTTTTTGCTTAAAAATGCCTGTGATCGTGGCAATATCGAGGTAATTCCCACAGGATGCAAACATGTGCCAAAAAAGTGACTGATCAACCACAGTCTTAAACACCAGTCGGAAAACAAACAAATACGTTAAACATTTGTTAACCGTTATATTGATAATTGTAATTTTAGTTTGTATGCAGCTGATGAGAAGCCATGAAATAGGATATATCTTTTTTTCTGCAAACGTTGTTGTTCCTGTTCCGTTCAATAACTAATGATGCATGAATATTACTTCATACTGAGAAGTGACAGCTATTTAATCTCGATATATTGCTATTAGTTGACATGTGAACTCGACCGATAAAATCATTTTTATATTCACTATAATTAAGCACGAAAAGGCGAAAGATCAGCTTTCTACGAATAATTTTCAAATACATATGGATTTTTTTAGGTAAAATGATTGAGTTACTTTTTATTCTTTTCATATCTGACTATCAGTCAGTCAGTAACAACGTAGAACTTCGTACGTACGTACATCAGTTCGAATTGCCATACCACATTAGCACAGAGATGCAGTTGTCGACTCAAATCCCGTAGTGGTAGAGGTAGTAAGAGTATAAGCAGTAATCGGGAAGATTAGGGTTTGGAGATGTTATTTAAAGAGTATAATAAAGTGAAATAAATTTGGGAAGAGGAAAATAAAAAAGGAACATAAATAATTCAGGTTAGAAGTTTGGAGAACACAAAGAGTGAATGCACCTGCGCCATTACAAACGATTTTGAGCCATGTTATTCAAGGTCTTTAACCATCGGTTTCTATCGTCTCGCGGATACCAGTCAGGTAGTCTACACCTACCAACATGACTCAGTCCACTTGCCAGTGACTTCATGGACTTGTGCCATGTTTTGGTCTGGCCACCCCTAGCTTTCTTCCAATCTACTCCTATACCACTGAACATAGCACATCGAGGCAGTCGGTGGTTGGGCATACGCAACACATGTCCCAGCCATCTCAACTGATGAAGTTTCACCACTTCATCAATCGATTTGCCATCCTTATCTAGTACCCGTTTCCTAACAACTGTGTTACTTACTCGATGGTCCCAGGATATACGAGCAATGTTTCGAAGACACCTATGATCGAACGTCTGACTATCAGAGAGAAAAAATGAAAATATAGCCGTGAATTTGTTAATACAGTAGTTTTATGGCTTAACAACACTTCCGCACACAAAATACATTATTGACAGAATCTTAATACTTTCAGAAACCCGACTAACATTAAGTTGCATAGTTTATTTTCTGGATACCATAAACACATTTATAAAGGATTAGAGAATGTAAAAAAAAATAAAACGATTTATGTGGTCAAAATGAAATCCCTGATATTTATCTTTATACAGTTTATTATGGATTGTATTTGAGGAATCGAACAGTAGGTAAATGTTTCAGAGAAATAATTACTCTTTCAATTGTGGACAGTACAATAAGCACTTCTAGTAACATTTGAAAGAATGTACTTATACATAGAAGTATAACTGTAAGGTTGGCTGAAATTGAATGTCAATGGTGTTTTCGGCAATTATTTCTCGGTTAAAAAAATTATTTACATTGATTATTGAATTCCGATAAAACAATGAGAAGACGAAGTTGATCTGAAGAATGTGATGTATTTGCGCTATACATTTCGAATAATCTGGCAAGAACTTCAGAATGATTAAACCCGCTAAGTCTTTGTAGATGTTATTCGCTGTTTCCATAGAACATTGTCGTCTAAGGACATTTGTCAGAGGCATTACCACAATATATGACTAAGCTTAAAATACTTTTGACAGTATATATATATATATATATATATATATATATATATATATATATATATATATATATATATATATATATATATGAACTTACCGATTAGCGAGCCAATGAATAGTGGCTTCAACAGGGGCAAAATGTTCCACACAAAATACAACATCTACACTAGATTTTAATCGAGAAAGCCAAACAGCATTATGAGCAGGTGTTTCAACTAGGAAAATAGGTGTCCGTTTCAAAAGACATGTTATTTGTTCAGGATGATGAGAGAATGTTTTAGTGATAGGATATTGTGCAAGTGCCTGTAGAAATTTAATAGGATGTCCAAGTGGAAATGTTTTGTTGGTTGAATGTGAACTGTTATATACATCAGACGGTGGTATTGATTCTGAATTTGTTGACTTATCTGTGTTACGACATTTATTAGAGGTCGAATCCACAGGTAAACTGAGAAAATCAAATTTACTTGATTTGGATGAATTCACATTAGATCTTAAATCCAACGCATCACCGATCAACCAAATACCTTCGTAATTGTTATTCATATATTCATCTGGCACTGATAAAAATGACTCAAAACATTCTAGGCAATTATCTCCAACAAGAAGTCTAAATATAAAAATATGCATGGAATACAGTTATGAAATTAAGAGTAGTGATTTATTAATAAAAATAATAGTATACAGTTATAATAAGCCACACTAATATCCTGAATTACAAATTAAGTTCTTAAATAGAGACAAAAATATTCATAATATCGCGAAACAGAAGGTCGATTCAAGCTGTAATATTATCGCTCAAAAACACAAAGAAAGCAAAAGGTAAAGAGAATAAGATTTCTGGAAATGATAAACAATTAACACATATGTATCATTTCGATGAGTTGTTGAATTGAACTGAATAATGTAACTGATTTACAAAGGACAAGAGTACGATTTTAAAAAGTCAGAGAGGACTAAACCCAAATATGGCATCAGTCCATGAAGTTATTAATTGTTAAACTGGATTGTGCAGGTGGATATAAACTACCTGGTTGGGGTCAACACGATTATTGTAACGAATAATTGAAGATATTGGATGGCGTGACCCAGAATTATTCGCAATGCTGCAAATGCTCTCTCTTTGTGTTTCCTTAGATTTTGAATCTTAAAATTACCTTGGATATGTTATTGCTTAAACTCAATCTTTTCAAGTCGTATTGTCTATTCCTAATATTTTCCACGAACAATGATACCGTTACTACATCTACTATTCAAGTATTTGGTTTGATAATTTCATCTCACTGAACTATTATGGTGTCAACTTGAACCTGTACACATATATGGTAGGTTCTACATTGCTCACGATTGACTGACTGAAGTACAGAATTATGCCGGGAGTTTACGGCCACATACACTATTCGAAAGTCATTTCGATCGCCCAAATAAAAAATATGTGGAGCAGAATTTCAACCCGAAGTAAAACGTTTGAAGATTAAGTGTATTTTAATTAACAAGCTAAACTTAGTGTCAACATTAGCTTTATACTTTTGTGTCAGTTTTTCGTTATTCTTTGTTAACCAACAAATTTCGCCAATGTTTGACCATTTGTCTTCTATTCGGTAACAATTACATCCCTATAAAGAAAATAAGCGTTCTTAATCATACAATATAATTTTTCCTTTGGATGTTTTTTTTCGAACAATTTTTATGAGAAACTGAATACGATGTAAGCGAAATGACTGTTGGCCACATGAAAAAACATAATCTCAAGTGATGAAAGTGAACTAATGATTTCCTTGTGACCAATTTACAAATATTTTCACTAAAATTGAAAGTCTCAATTGTATAGCTCCTTTTTATAAGAGAAAAAAACGTTGATAGGTATATATATATATATATATATATATATATATATATATATATATATATATATATATATATATATATATATATATATATATATATATATATATATATATAGTAGGTCTTATGATCTATGAGTTAAGTGAAATATACTATTAAAAGTTTTTTACATAAAAAGGAACACAAAAATTTGAAAAAACGTTTTCGAAATAATTTTTATTCATATCAAGTACACCAGGAAAGATTATTATTATTGATAATAATAATAATCATATCTGACTCAAAACTGAAATTTATCATCGATAGTGAGCAGATCTACTTTGTCAGTACATGGGTCATATTTGACGAAACATTTATTTTAAAGCTTCAATGCATGATGACAAGTAATAAAGGTAATATTCACGAAAAGAGGGAGGGGGTAAATTTAACAATTAGTTACTTTTTCACTAAAGAACAAAAATTTGCTGTGCGGATTTTTCCATATGAATTTCAACATTACACAAATATAAATTTCTGAAAATTCAGAATTAGATAAGGTGTTGACAACTGGGTTGCGGGTACAAACTCTGTTTACGTACTTAGATCAGGGTAACTTAGCAACAAGCAGAAACACACTCAATAACCAAGCTATTCATTTAAATAATACGCAATATGTGCCGTATTATCAACATAAAATTAGAGGCCTAACAACTTTTCCCATATTCTATAAAGCTTGAAATTTCGAATAACAAGTGTTACAATTAGATGCTTTTAAGATGTTTAAAGCTAGTCAAAGCTCGGATCTGTTGGTCGAAAGTATAGCAGTTTATATAGCTACCGTTCATTTATATCCTAGTCGTGTTGTACTATATCGCATGATCAACGGTTAAAATAATTTGAAAACACAAGTTTATTGTGGACTTACTAGTTTAAGTTATGACCCCCAAATGTCCTGGTACGGCCGAGGGTGGAAAGAGTCCACTCTATTCAAAATGCTTTCACATGGCCACGAGTATATAGCCACTGCCAGAGAAGTCCTACTCATTGCCTCCTCGTGGCGGGGGTGTTATTTACGAAATTGAGAGGACGAAAAACGAATGTCCGGCACTTTCACCAGGTTGGTGGATATGGAAGGTCTACCTAGGGAAGTTGGAAAACCCTGATTCCGAACCAATGGTATACATGGGCTCCAGGATCCTGATGGAACAGATGAAGTACGAACCTATTGTTGGTCACCGGCTACTGTGGGACAGCATTTTCTGACGTTGTTCCACAACCTTGTGGATTAGATCACCAGGTCAAAGGCCGCCTAAGAAAATCATCTGCTTATGTTTGGGCGCCCTGGAAGTATCACAGCCTTCACACAAATCAGTGATAAGTACTACTGGCCTCATTGTTATTATGTGGTGCAAATGTATTTGGTGCCCCCTTTTACTAATGTTTATGTGTTCAAATAAATAAATAATTTAAGCTATAGGCTGTACATGAAACTTACAGCATTGGTAAAATAAAGCAGTATATATATACACAAAATATTTTGATTTAATTACGTGGAAAATGATAGTTCTTAGACGTTTTTCAGACAAAACTGCCATGCACAATGTCAGCGTTTACAAGCCATTTTATAGGGCAACTTAGAAAAATGAGTAAAAATATACAATGAAATGTGTCGAAATATAATAACTTTTAGAAAGCAGAAACACCAGTTATTTAAAGATATTAATTAATGATAATGAAGCCACCTAATCTTAAAAGTTATGTTATTCAATTTATCAACTCTCAAAACGTTTTAGGATTTTCAGATATCATTTACCGTGCTCCATCCAAAAATCGGATGATTGCCATAAGACGACAATCTGACACCCGACCGAGCCAACTGTTCCAAATCACATAGTTTTCGTCAACATGTGTGGTCCATGGCTAAAAGGTAAATGTATTTAAAATGAGATAATGTATCTCATATGAATATTGGTTTTGTTACTGATTGACAACTAAAAGGTGAGTTTAACACTGCTAAACGTGGTTGGATTTGGTTTGGTAATCTTTTACTTAACCTAAACCTTACTATAAATAGTGAGGTATCCAAGTTTTATACAGTAGTTGACTTACGACCTAGGTAGTCTCATATTTTATCCTTTTCAAAACAGGTGTCTAAATAGACCCCAACCTCAATGATTTCCGGCATATCTTCGACTATTCCTAGAATGCTGAACTTTTATCCTTATTATCGTTTGCATGGAGGTTAAATTAAGACTAGAATCCGTTCAGATGCGATTTACACTTCGAAGTCTTGAAGGTGATTACACCTTAAACTACAGATCTAGACGCAATAAGCTTGGAATCGATCTTTGATGGAAGCGGTGGCAAAATAAATTCAACTTTCTTTGAAATTTTTTTGGCGAAGTAACCACCTCCATGCCCCCAAATGCCCTAGTATGTCAGAGAGTGGGGAATATCCGCTCTCCCCCTCTACATGCTCTCACATGGCTACGCATATATAGCCTCTGCCAGGGAAATCCTACTCACTGCCTTCTCATGGCGGGGGTGTTGTTTACGAAATTGAGAGGACGAAAAGCGAATGTACAGTGCTTCAACCGGATCCTAAATCAATGGTGCACATGGGCTCCAGTATCCTGCGCGAACAAATGGCGTATGAACCATTTATTGGTCACCGGCTTCCATGAGACTGCATCTCCTTACGATGCTCCACTGCCTTGTGGATCAGACCTTCAGGTCGAAGGCTCGGGGAGCGTTCCCCTAAGAAAACCACCTGTTTCGGTTTGAGCACCCGGGCAGTATCACAGCCCCCACATATATCGAATGAGATTTGTGTGGCGCATATGTATTTGGTGCCTCCTCGTACCAATATCTGTGTTTAAATAAAACAAATAAAATAATTTTTCTTTGGAATACTTAAGAGACTTCTTTTTATATCCAATGATACGAATCAATATGTAGGAACGCCTAGTTAAACCATCCACAACTCTTCACTATTAGTGAAACAATCTCATTCCGACCGTTGTTGCTACCTTGACGTGGTGGTCGGGCTTGCCTATCGTGATGAAGCAACCGAGCTATACTGGCTGGAACAACCGTTCCTCAAGGTCCTACCATGTCAGACAGGTCGTTTGAAGAGCGGTAAGACTAAAAGCAACAAACCTAAGGTCCGAAGGCGAAGTCGTACTGCTGACTGTACAGAGGTGTGACAGCAGTAAGGTGTTTCCTTCAGACAACCAGCATGACAGCGATGCTGCCTTCCCACAAGGAGGGGTGGGGTTAGAAAAGGTCGACCCTAAAAATGCACACCTCACCTTACCTCATGGATTTCCGTCTTCGGCGGTAAGGCTTTTTGAAGAACGGAGCTAACACGTCAAAAACCTTCCACGAAAAGGCCGTGCGCGACCGGCCTCAAGCAGTTGTCCCTTGGGCACTGCAGTTACGCTCTCAGGTCGCTGAGACCGCCTCTAACCCAATTTCCTTTTCAGGTACCTCCAGAAGAACCCTTCCACGGTGTGGGCAACCGGGAAGTGATAACCGCCCTCATACCTCTAACAGCACCCAAGACCACTGTATTCATAATCAACCTTCCTCTTCAATTCCTATTATTCCTCCTACATCGACTTTCAACCCTAAACTTCCTCCTTCGGTTTCTTCCTCAAGTGTCACCATAGCCAACGATTCTAGTGCTCAAAACTCTGTCCCAGGTCTACTGAAACCTCGCTCCAAACTACACATTGGAGCTTTCAACGTACGCACTCTATGTCAAATCGGTCAGCAGGCTTCCTTGGCTAAAACCCTAGAGTCTCTTTCCATTGATGTATGCTGTGTCTCCGAAACACGCATACAGGATTCCAGTGTGGTCATTCACTTGACCTCACCTCGGCAAAACGGAGAGCCAACGAGATACACCCTACGTGTATCTGGTGGCCCGATGGCCAGTTCTCGTGGACTGGCAGGTGTAGGCATAGCACTAAGCATGAGGGCGGAACAAGCACTGCTCTCATTCTGGAGTACCTGCTTGGACTCCGACCATGCCCTAATACGGGCACGCATCTGCTTGCGCCTCACCGGACGCAAAAAAGCCACATTAAAAAGACCCATTAGAACTGAGATGAGTAACGATAAAACCAAAAATAGGTTCCAAGAACAACTGAGTTCACACTTAGGTAGTTCTGAAGACCAGGCTGACCCAGATGTTGCTTGGAAAGACATACAAGCAGCTGTGGAAGCAGCAGTGACATCTATTAGCAACTTAAACCGGAGTTTCAAAGAACCAGTGGATTTCTTCAAAGTCTATCACACTGATGGATTCTCGCAAACTCGTCCCATCAGGTTCCGAACATGATGAAGAGCGACAACAAATCAGATCTAGGTTAAGAAAAAGTCTAAGAAACGACCGTGAGCAGTGGTGGGCAACGAAAGCAAAAGAGATGGAAAAGGCGGCGACTATAGGGAACACAAGACAGCTTTACAGACTAATAAAAGAAACTGGAATTAATAAGTCAAGTGTAAGTGAGATTATATCGGAAAAAGACAATACACTCATCTGCTCCCAGTCCATGCATTTAGAACGATGGGCGGAACATTTCAGAGAACAGTTCAGCTGGCCTTCAGCTACTCTACAACTACCCTCCATTCCCAGACAGCGTGAATGGAACATTGAAGTAGGTCCCCCAACTCTTGCTGAAGTTAAAAGGCTATAGATAATCTGAAACGAGGAAGGGCAGCTGGTTCAGATGGACTGGCTCCAGAAGTCTTTAAGGATGGTGGTCCAATTTTAGCGATTAGGTTGACTAATATTTTAGCTAAGATCTGGGAGTTAGACGTTATTCCATCTGACTGGTCGCAATCACTTATCGTCCCAATATATAAGAAAGGGTCAAAATCATCTTGTGACAACCACAGAGGGATTAGTTTAACTAATATAATATCTAAAATACTAGCCTCAATAATAATCAGACGCCTAACTAAGACTCGTGAACTGCAAACACGAGAAAACCAAGCTGGCTTCAGACCTGGTCGTGGCTGCATCGACCACATATTCACCATTCGTCAGGTTCTAGAACACAGGCATACTTATCGGCGTCCGACGATGGTGGTCTTTCTTGACTTAAAAGCAGCATTTGACTCGGTAGACCGCGAGATTCTGTGGCAGTGTCTGTCATTGAAAGGCGTACCCCAGAAGTACATAAACCTTGTAAAGGCTCTTTACTCGAACACTACTAGTCGAGTGAGAGCTTATGGCGAACTGTCATCTAGTTTTGCAACCTCAAGTGGTGTCCGTCAAGGCTGTCCACTTTCTCCATTTTTGTTTAACTTCATCATAGATCTACTGATGGAAATAACTTTCTCGTCGACTGAGTTCTCGGGTATTGATCTCCTTCCAGGAGGTCCACTTATCGACTTAGAATACGCAGATGACATAGTCCTGTTTGGTGAAGACGCTGACAAAATGCAGAGTCTTCTGGTAGCACTGAGCAACAATGCCAGGATGTTTGGAATGCGCTTCTCTCCCTCTAAATGCAAGTTGTTGCTTCAGAACTGGTCTGCGTTAACACCTGAACTAAGGATAGGGAGTGAAGTAGTCGAACGCGTTGACAACTTCACTTATCTTGGAAGTCTGATCAGCCCTGATGGGTTGGTATTGGACGAAATCTCAGCACGGATTCGAAAAGCTCGTTTGGCTTTTGTCAACTTACGTCACCTGTGGCAAAGGCGAGATATCCGTCTATCAATAAAAGGACGAGTATACTGCGCGGCAGTCCGTTCTGTCTTACTTTAAGGCAGCGAAACATGGCCATTAAGAGTAGAAGACACTCGTAAGCTATTAGTATTTGACCACAGATGCCCTAGAAATATTGCTGGCATCTGCTGGGATGACCGGGTAAGTAATAGTGAGGTTAGACGCAGGGTATTAGGAAAGGATGGTAAATCAGTTGATGAGGTTATGAATCTTCATCGACTGAGATGGTTGGGCCACGTGTTACGTATGCCTGAACACCGATTACCACGACGTGCAATGCTAACGGGTGTTAGAGATGGTTGGAAGAGAATTAATGGCGGCCAAACCAAAACGTGGCATCAGTGCTTAAAGACACTAACCTCTAGTCTGAGCCATGTAGGTAGATGCAGACTACTTGGTTGGGGTCCGCGTGACTATCGTAACCAATGGTTGGAGACTCTTGGTGACATGGCTCAGAATCGATCACAATGGCGTCGGTGTATACACTCCCTGTCTTTCCTTAAACTAAGAGATTAAAATCGCTTCATATCTTTCTTTCTACGAACCAATTCCGTCTTCTGGTACTATATCTCTATATACAATCTTTCTCTTATATATTACCACCTTTTACCTAACCACTGTTATGAATCCGGTGTTCATCTTGTTGTGCTGATGCGGTATGGCAACCTGGACCGATGCACATATGTGCCCGGTCCTACGTTGTAGCTAACTGACTGACTGACTTTATCTATATCAATCACTTTTCCGGTAAATTTTCGACACTACGGAGTAGTTTGCCGAAGTTGCTCTCAGTTTACCAGCATGAATCACTTCATCCAATAGAGATGTTGGCTATATTGCAGTATTGAGTGTACATTTCTATATAAACCCTTTAGTACTATGCCTCTTGAATGCATCTTACAAGATTATTTCTATTTATACGTTTGCTTTTATATTATAACAACGTAATGCCATTTTGTATAATATATCCCTTGGTTTTCTTTAAAATTAGTTTCAAAGTAAATAAGCTGTCCAATCTACGGAATATTTACAACAGACATGAACATAAGCTATGTCAAGTCAATTTAACAAACACACTGTGGGAATGAAAAATACAATGACGATGTTAATAAAATAAAATGGGTCACTTACATATACACTTCTTAAATGATCACACTGAATATCGAACATGACCTTCTGGTGGTCTAGTATTTCTGCATGGGCTGTCATGCAGACATTTGAGATCGTTCCAATCATATTGGTTTCTAAGTTTTGAACGACCTCTCCAGGCATATAACTTCTGTCCAAAAAGTGAACTTCATCTGATTTTAAATTGAGTGGTATGGAGCTACTATTAGATTTAAATCCAAAAGCCCTCCAATCTACTTTAACCTAAATCATTATTATAAATTAGTACAATTATAACAGCATATAGGATTAAGATGATAAAATAATTTGACAAGGATAAGTTACAGAAAACTAACTGTCGACTTAATACGGGTACTACTGCCTTTCAAAACGTTTTTGATAATTTCACAACCACGTTTGACTGATAAAGATTCATGAAGTCTTGAACGTCATGTTCAGACGTCCATAATTACGCTCAATGAAGCTTTGTTTTTTGTTCTATCTTTCTTCTAAGTATTGAAAATGGCATGCGTATCCGAATATCTGTGCACAACTAATTTTTTATATTCACCAATTAGAAAGTAGCATAACCGAGTGTGAATCTTTATGTGGACAAAGATAAAGAGATCATAACAAGTTGTTTATCTAGTGCGTCTCTGAACATCCCAAGTGAGCGCTCTATATCTACTTTCATATAAACTAGAGGTCAGAGAAGTGTGTCCAGTTTTGTATATATCTTCCTGAAATCGCCTCAATTTTACAGAATCACGATCGCTCGATTTTGGGGAAATTTCCGAATTTTCGGGGTTTTTCTGCCATTTACCCAAAACGGACATTTTTCCTTAAGATAGGAAGACTGGTATTCGGCGAGACTATAATTTGTGAACGAACCAGTAGAATTCACGATATCAGGTCTTGGATTTTGGCGCGGAACTATTTATACATTTGGTTAAATAACGTCTTGGTATTGTAAATGATGTCAGTTCGTGATGAAAATCCTAAATCTAATCCCTATCCCTAACCATCAACTATGAATAATCCTTATCTTTCAAATGGATTTAAAGATTTCATTTAAAACTATTCAGTATGTGGACATTATCAAGGCCACTTTAGCGTCACTCAAATGTCCACAAATAATATTCTAACTTGGGATTACCCCCATTGACTATAGTCAATATGATCGATGCATCAATGCGATCAGTGGTCACGGACCTAGATCAACTGCCAAACCAAGAAGCAGACGACTTCTCAGATAAAAAACCCAAGAAACGAAAAAACCTCTGTCGTGTTGTAGAGATTACAAATTACCGTGTTTTCATTTTCACATTTATCATGAGTAACTTCATTATTATTTCGCGCTGGATGAACATCTGACGCTATAACTGAGCCAATGTATGCACTTTTTGTCGGCCTATGCAGATAATAAACAACATCACCCTTGAGAACTGCATTGTGTGACACCATTGATTCTACTGACGTCCTCGTGTAAAAAATTTTAAAATATGCGCTTAAAGTAATCCTGAGGAGCTGAAGGTCATATGAGAATTTCAAGCACCAATTATACATTTGTTAACCTAGGTTAAATCAACTGATTTCGTTCAATTTACTTTTTATTGATGCCAACGAGTTAAGGTCAACAATGTCATTTATTACAATAGGCTACATTACATTTGACTACTGGAGCTATTACAGATTTGGCTGACAAGTGACGATTGACTTACTAAGACCCTTACGGTTACCAAAGTTTGTTTCATATCATATAACCAGGTGATGCTTAAACATATGCAAAGCATAGTGCAATTTAGACCAATAGGTTTACTTGTTACCTCCACGTAACACTTGATGTGGTTTAATCTAACCTTGTACACTGGTAAATTTGCAGTTAATTCAATCTGGAGATCTCATGGAAAACAAAATGTTGGATTTGGTACTCATAAATGCGCGTAAATATCGCCTGTCACATTTAAACAGTAACCCAGATCACCATTAAGTATGCCATGTAACTCATCCCTCTCTCAGGTTATACGCTTCTCAACACATCGAATACCTTCCACATATATCTACGAATGTTATATTCCTAACTCTTGTACTGACTGTTTTAAGGATCCCTGATCATGAAGTTGTTACGAAAACGCCGTTCTTAAGTTTCAAATATCCACAACATTTTTAGTGGTGAGCTCGAACTGATCTGGTACTCCAAATGATAAACTGTATGTTTCTGAGGCTTCGCAATGCTCATGTTAGTTTTGAGTTCCATGTATGGTAGAATAGTGGGTATCTCTGTAGCAGAGACTAGTACAAAAGAGAAAAAACCTGGTGAGTGATTTAAACGCCATGAATTGAATTCTGCACTACTTACAAAATCTTGAGGCTTCAGAGCGGACAATCCACAGTTACCCGAGGTTTTGTGTTAATTATCTAGAATGATTCACCAGTCCTTATAATAATTACACATGGGCAAAGAAATTTTGATCGATAGAATTTTGTAAGACGTCTTAATAGTGATTCAACAACACAATAGCTTTTTCGAAAACTTATCATTAACAACTACCTGTTTGATCACTTAATAAAGACATTTAGATCATTCTCTATTTCCATCCTGTCGCCATGATTTTGTATGAATTTTCGTACTTTTATTTTGTATTCAGACAATAAGGGGATGACCTCACCTCATTAGGAATACTACTTAGGCAGAGGAAAAAAGATGATATAGGATTCTTTCATGATGAACTCCACTCTTCATATATTATTATAATGATTACCTACTGTTTTTTTTCACATACTACCTCCGGTCACTGAGGTGGCCATTGATCAATTCTCTGACTTTGCTTTCAATACCGAACCTACGAATTCGCTCTGTGTCTCTGATGAGAGACCTTATCAATAGTTCACCTAAATAAATGGAGACCTAATCTTCAATAATAATTCAACTCTGAGCAGAAGCCTAATGAGCTTTAGCAACAAAAATGTTGAATGAAAAGGGAAAGCCCTCTCAAAAACCTTGTTGTTTTGTAACGAAAGAAATTTCATCTCTACATGAGGTGAGATAGCAGCGAAAATCCCCTCAATTGTAGGTTTATAAGCCATAATTACAATGATGTTACTTACAATTTCCATTCTTTAAGCTCGGTCATTTAATACGCTCACAACTTACAACTTAAGTTCTATTTAGGTGACAGACGTTTACCGGTATGTCGCTAGTAATCAGTTCAAATACATTGTTTTAATAATAACTAAATACTTTGTGTTCATGTTGTAACGGTGGGTAACCGGGTGAAAACTATCCTTCATAAATTTAGCCCTGTCTTCGGAAGCATGACTTCTGTTTGCATCACGTAGAGAGCGCCAGAAGCGCCTACTGTTTTAAACAGAGCTACTATAATTTCAGGCTGGTTATTATCAGGTTTTCTAGAGCTTCAAGAAGTACTTATTGAACCACACACCACTGCAACTATGATTAGAGACAGCCCACCTACCAAGAAAGGTCGTTCGCCAGTCGGACGATATCAGCCTTTTTTATGAAGCTTGTAAATCACAGTGTCTCATTAGCGTTATGTTTCGTGTTGCTTCAGATTTTGTTGTAGCCGTTAATGTTTCGTTAACCTAAATAGGTTTACTTGCATCGTATTTAAATTTTTAATGTCAGTTTACGTAATGTCTGTGATATTCTTCCTGGTTATTTTTGAGCCAAAATAATGGTGAGTTGACCATTCTGTGAATTGTCGAGCTCGCATTATGACTAGGAGTTTACTCGTTGTTTCAGATGCTACTTGACAGCTTATTATTTATACTGTTATGTTCTTATGTCTTGTTATTTGTCGCGTGACTAAGTCGTTAATTATAACACTGGCTTATTCGACCTGGACATTGTGTCAAATCAATGGAGCTTCGACAGGTTCAAGCGGCTTAGAATCCATTTTGAGTCCTTATTGATTCCTATCACCCTACCTTGTCCGTTGAGTTCAGAACACAATTTCATTCGCACTGTATGAATCTTATATTTCAAACATACTTGCTTTACACAAAACTAGACCAGATTATTCTATAAAATAAAAAAATCAATAAATGAATCAAGCCAAAACTTACTGTGAGTGTGAGAGACTATGATTAATAGGTTGGTAACAGCTTAATAATGGTAAATCATATGATAGTAGTCAACAGTTTATATGGAGGCTCAGAATAAAGGAAATACGGATATAAATATAACACAGTTACTTAGCAATTATTTAATAGGAATATATGTAATAATAGTCCATAAATAATTCTTAACATTTAACATTCATTTATTCTGCGCTGGGATATAACAACTAGATACTAACTCACCGTTGTGCCTAAGTTAAGGTTGAAGACTAAACTCTGATACTTTTGTTCGCGGTATTGTCTCTCTTCTCTTTTTGCATCTAACAATTTGTATAAATGTTTAACATATGGTTATCTTGAAATAACTTTGCCATAAACCCACAATCTTCATAATTCTACTCAGCCATTACGATCAATGTTATGACCTTTCTGGTTCAGGCGCATCAAATTAAACCTTGCCTTTATCTACCAGCTTATTGACGTTATTTCTTGCTCTTTGGTATCCATCCCCTCATGCTCTATTATATCTTCCCACAATCTACGTAATAAGGAAAATATTCTAGCGATTCCATGCAATTTCCTCATAACTATCTTTAAACCTACCTCTTTAATGGTACGTTGATGACAATTACTTCATCATCACATTTCTTTGAATGCCAATACATATACTTCCATGGTTTTGCACACAAATGTGTTTCGATGCCTTAAAACAGAGCGAATAATTGTTCAGACGATACTATAAATAAGCTTTTAGAAATAATTACCAATAGCGTTGTAACTTTTAGCCGTGTGTCCTATCAATATATAAAGTAATGAAACCGCCAATTAGAGAACAGTGAATTATCGAAAGGACCAGTCACGCGTAAACCCGTATGAGCAGTCTAAAATCGTTATCGGTATTTCTTCCTGTCTGTTAAACCCAGTACGCCAATCTCAACCTCCGTGATATTAATCGTGTATTTCAGACGTGTTGGGTTTACAAAAATAAAAACCGATTGAGAAGGTTAAGGTGGAAATAAGGATTAACAATAATAGGTTGTGTTTCTTTAGTTGGGCTCACCAATGTAGAACTTATGGTCTACTATGATATTAGTACTGCTCTAATAATAGACCTAATCCTAAATTTGTAGATTTGTCATGATATGACTGCCTAATCTATAAGACCTTACGTGGAAGTCACACCATCGACTACACCAACTCACTGTATCGTATCAATTACCAATACATGATGTAGAACAAGGTTAGGCTAGAGAAAGAACAATATATTTAATATGAAAAGAAGATATAAGGTAACATTCAGCAGAGACCACGCCTGCATGGCCGAGCCATGCCGTTCGATCAACTCTAGTCTATTCAATTCATTATTCGCGCCTTCTCCATTGTTAGGTATTTCTTCGCGTTAAATATTGAATACCTATTTTCCGAGTAATCTCGTATTCAGCTTTGAGGATAGTGTGGTTATGGTCCAATGCCACTACACTAACTCCCAAGAAAATGAGATAATCTAGGTGTTAATAAAAATAGCACGCACCGAATTAGGCCAGATATTTCTAGCCGGGGTCTTCAATGCTTCATCTCAAAAACTCAGCAAGCAATATGCAACCACCACGTTTTGGTTTCATGAGCAACCTGACATATCTATTAGAATTTCAAGAAAAATTGTACATGTGGGTAACACATCGGGATGAAGTGAGGATGGAAAATCTCGAAATTGTTTTAATGAATTCACCTAGCTGAAGGCGCCCAATCATGCATTCGCACCAGATCACGAGCTGGAATGCCGTGTTCAACATCCCCTGCAATCGCTAGCCAGATTAGATCAGTCGATTTACGATATATTGATAGCCTGTCAAATATATCTTCAAACCTCCTTGCTTCTGTCTTTTGATTTCACTTGGCAGGTACGATTCATATTAGGTTTTACTGGTTAAAGCGTTGTCAAACTCAAAATACCTGTGGCATCCTTACAGTATTATTCATTTTTCTATCGCTTTGGCGAGTGAATAAGATATTTTATTTGTAGTGTTGAGTTCTTTCAAATTGTCTGAATTTACATGGATAATATGTGATTTCTTCATTTTACACTAGGGCTGCGCTACATCTTATGTATCAATATGGGCTTTTAGCCGCGAAAGTGGCAGAGAGTAATTTGCAAGTACGTAATGTACAATATATATATGACAAATAAAGCTTTTAACCTAAATCTCTGCATTATAATCCCTAAGAATTGTTTATGTGAAACTAAGTGGACCAACAACTCCATGGTCTAGATACACGACTGTATTGGCTATACTACGTATAACAGTTTATATTTATTTAAAGAGCAATAATAATGGGATATGACTATCAGATAAGTAAGCAGGCAGTCGAAAAAGGAATGTTGGCGAGATTCGTATGCAACTCTTTCAAACTCATCAGGCAACTGACCACAAATTAGCCGATCGAATGAA